GTTACACAACTAACGCCAACCTAACACACAGAGCCTATGTGTGTATCTGACAGTAACTCTCTGACCCTCCGAACTGCAATTGGTTAGCATGCCAGCTCATTAGTTGTTCAACTATTTCCCCTCCAGGCTTACAGTATAAAGGCTTCCTCCTTCCCCCTGAATGATAAAGATCTCATTATTACTTCTAATGTTTGAGCTGTCGGTATTAATATGAGTGCGTATGTGTGTCACTCAGCCAGGCTGGCCGCCAGCCTCTCTCCCGCGGCACTCCTCTGTGCTGGATGTGCAAACGTTACAGTGTGAAGTCTTGGTTTACTGTGTGCGTTTGTCCTTGTTGCTTCCAGCAAATGGCAAATTCAGGAACCTCTCACACCAGCTTCTATTGTCATCATGGGGGTAAGAAACACCAATTTCTGGGATGTTTAGCTCACACTCAAGCTCAGTTTATTGGTGTTTTGACGCAAAAGCCTGGGCAGTTTTTCCACTCTTGTGTGTATTTCCTCAAAATTGTATTAGTGTTGGTCTGGCCTGCTGTGCAGTGGTAGATAGATTATAAACATTGTGTGAACTGAGAGGAACAGGATGGGCGGAATTGTCAAGGCAGGTGCCCGCTTGTTAGTCAATCTGAAGGCAGGAAATTGCACTGGCAGAGGCACACAAACACACACATTGCCCGCAATACACACCCAGTTTGTCACCCGTGCCCCTTCAGAAACTGAAGCAATACTTCCTTCTGGTACGCTTCTCTTGAATCACCTGCCGCTTGTCACACTGACAGTTCTCGTGAAGTCTTATATCATCTTTGTGACACCCCAAACCACCCGGCGCTGTCACAATCCTCCTAATCACTCTAATCACCATCTAATTGAACTATTGAACCGACTCTCACATACTATTCACATGACTTTTAAGCTTTTACCAAAGAGGATAAAGTGAGTGTCTCTACACTTTAAACTGTGGCTGCGTCCAAAATAGCAATGATCCAATAATGATGCATTGAGTTGTTCCCAAAGAACGTCAATAATCATAAAGTTATATTCAGTGATATCTCTTTTGTTAGCTAATGTTACCTTCCATTAGCTGTTATTAGCTGCTGATCACACCAGATCAAGTAAAGCTGTAGCCGCAAAACATAACAGTATACTGAATTGAGCAAGATTACATTGCATTGACCATTGCTTAAACCAATTTAATTCACTTTTCCTCAGTGCTACATATCATTTTAACATCAAATAGCTAATTATTTTTAGTTTTCCAGGTAGAAAAACTCTAACGACACACAGATGGCCTCCGAACTGGCATCTATTTGTCCAACACCACAAAGCAAGCAGGTTGTTGGACAAAGACACGATGTCCAAACAAATGATAATGCTCCATATCGGCTGGATGTAAACATTTCTGTTGCCAGCTTGTTACACCTTTCCAAAGTGGGCCAAACCATCATCTTGCTTCTTAATTTAAATTAAGGGAAGATTGTTTTTTAGCAGATTTCACAAGCTATGTGGTCGTACTTTAACACGTTATGGGTGGATACAAGCAGTGTTGACGTATTGCACCTAGACATATCTCCAGAAAAAACCCTGTAAAAACACCTATTTCTACAGAGCTGTTTATCAGGACCGTAAAGAATTCAAGCACATTTCTATGGCTGCCTTTGTCTTTACCTCTTAGCCCACTGGGTGAATGAGGTTGGCTATGAGGGCAAAGTAATAACTCTCACACGTCACTTAAGCGTATGCATTCTCGGCCGTACGGCTCAGCTGTATTATATCTCCATGTTTTTCAACTTGTCAAAAGCACAGCTAGCCGCAACACCAGTTTCACCAGGGAGTAAGGTTGGGAAACAAATCCACAGAAAGTGGGAGAGGCAGACAGTACCATATGTGGGTGAGAAACGTTGCTCTCATACAGGCTGTTTTTCTTTTGTTTCAGCTGCGCGGCCCCACCTTAAATGAGGACAGCGAGCAAGGGAGCATACTGGACAGGGGAGGAGAGGGGAGAGGTTGATGGGAATCATTGAAGAATTGGGCATAATGTGCTCTGGCAGTCCCTGCTCCAGCTGTTTTCCATTCAAGTGGTGAAATGTGGCTGCGGTGGGATGGACACGCAGAGGAAGAAGAGGAGGAGGGAGGCTGTAAAACATGGCGTAAGACAGAACATGTTAAGATCACAACGATGGCCAAAGTGAACTGGTGTCCTTTTCTTTCTGTCTGTTTCCCTCTTTCTCTCGCAAACTGAATTGAAATTACCACAAGTGTGTTTAAGGAAATTAGTTGTTTCTAGACGCTTGAATTTAGAATATGCTTTTATTGATAAGCTACACATTTTTGCAGCTATTGAAATATTAAAATGATGTAACTGCGCTTATGTCGTTATTATAACCAAAACTGCAATCTATCTTTCAACACATTTCTTTTGCCTGAACTGAATTGAGTTGTATCCTGTGAAGTTTATTTTGAATAGAATGTACACATGATCGGATGTTAACACGTGTTGCTGGTTTCTGTAATCAGTAAGACAATACTGATACTTAATTTTAAACAATAATTGTGTAAAATCTATTTGATCTTAAAGAGGATTTGTTAACGTCACAAAATAGGCACAAAGCCAAATTATGCAGGAATTGTTTCTTCGATAATGATCCACTTGTTTGTTTTTGTCATATGAATGAACAAACAATTCCCTCAAACTTCCCTTCTGTCAGCAGTCACTGATTGTGTCTGTGTGTGCAGAGTGAAGGTGCTCCTGCTGTCAGAAGGTCCACTGCTCTCTCAGTATGAGCAGTGGACACTGACGTTTCTGACAGCTGCCAATGAGTTAAGATATCCACCGAAAACACCATTATGTTCATAACCTGGTGGATCGTTTGGCCATTGTTTCTATCAGTTTATCAGTTATGATGAAATGAAATTGCAGCCTTGGTTCCAATTTGTCTCAGTGGTCATTTGCGGTATTGCAGCGAGAAATCTTTATCCACAGGCCACCATTATAAAAGAGATATCTGAAAAAACGGTTAATAGGACATTTTCAACCCAAAACAACGTCAATTCTACAATGCTTTTCATAATGAATCGACGTAGGTTATATTGGTTGAATTTTCTTTGAACCAAGAGTACAGTTTCTAAATCGATATCATCGACATAGCCTTGTTTCCATTCACAATGTGGTATGCAAACATTCAAGTATCACAATGTAATTACAATATACAAGTTGTTTGGAGGTTGCAATATTTTAGGTCCTCACTTGCAAGAACAAGCTTTTATGCATCCATAAGGTGAGTCTTGTTGAAAAAGGGTTGACCTGCAAAATGAGATAAGGAAATGCCTTCGCTAGATACGTTCTGACGGGGTGAACATTTAACCTCAGTGACTGATAATTCCTGCCCTCTGCAATGATCACACTGCTGTAACACCATTACACTGTTAAATATGTGGTTAAATCTTTGCTCTTTTGTTTAGTTAGACTTTAATTTAATATTATATTTCTTGTGGTTATATTGTAGATTTTCTACTCTGTCATGTCTTCACGTGTTCACATACAAATGCTGCTGCAGCAAAATCGTTTCAAAACAATTTTGCAGAGACAATGTATAACCCAAAAGTAAACCAGACGCTGGAACCTTTTTAGCCGTATGCGCAAAGGAGGCTCTCATTGGACTGAATGGACATTTTGAGATTCCGGTATCCATTATTAGAGGTCCAAGCTTTCAACACCCTTCAGGAATCAGGAATCAGGAACATTCATAACCAAAATATGTCACACATACAAGGAATTTCACTTGGCACTGAAACTAAATTTTGGAGAAAAAAAAACGTTTTATTAATTGCAATATTGCAATGTTTTAATGTAAGGCTTTGTTCTGAACACAAGTGGTTCAGCGTCTTCATTTTTTGTTTCTCTCCTCATTGGACTTCGTTGTAGACCTCTGCAATGAATTTAGTGTGCACATTGTGCTCATCATTGATCGAAAGGATCTTGACAACGTTTATTATTAACAGTAGAAACAGCTTAAAAACTCTGGAAAAAGCTTGTGAGTGATCTTTTAGGTTTAATAATAGATACCACGATTGCCACCATTTTCAAAATAAAGCCAAGTTTGTAATACGTTTTTCCTTTAACTCAGACACAACTCTGCCTGCGTTTCAGGTTGTGGAAACAGAATGAAAAGAAACGGGATGAATGTCACGCTGTTCCTTTTGTTTTCACCCATTGTTCAAACAGCATAAAGCAGATGATGCCTTTGATTACACCTGGGCAACTCGATCTCTTAAGAAGCACCTCTACTTCATGAATGTTGATGGATTACGGCACCCGAGGGGGAAAAAAAAATGCTAATTTCTGTAGTGTCAAGACGTAGTTTGCGGCAAGTTGCTCGATTCATATCAAACATCTGGAAGGCACTATGATTTCTTATGTGCTGGTGATAATAAGGTTATTTTCACACGGTGGAAAAGGATGCGTGTGTGTGTGTGTGTGTGTGTGTGTGTGTGTGTGTGTGTGTGTGTGTGTGTGCGTGTGTGCCGTCCTGGCTGGTTTTGCTCCTGCTGACAGAGTAATGGATCTGTTCAATGTTGCATGTGGACTGTGTGATGAATGAGATTCATTTGAAATTCTCTTTCTTAAATGAGGCACTCACATGGCTCATGTCCTTTATTGGGGAATATGGACTTAAATGAGAATGTATTATTGGAAAAAGTGTATCGCTTTTGCATTAATCATTGCTGTGAAATGGTTTTGATCGTGGTCTTTTGTTTTCCTTTTCTTCTTTTCTATGTGAAACCCATATAATGCACAATAAATGTGTCACAAATATTATATGGTTGCTGTACTGGTCTTATACTTAAGATAATTGTGATTTTGGATTGGTGTAAATCTATCGTAATGGAATTTAAGAATCTCGTCAAATCTAAAAGTGTACAGAAATGTATATTTATTATTAAATTATTTATTTAAAATGTGCAACAACAAAAAAATGAAATAATGACACATTTCCCACTAAATCCGTTATGCAATTCACTTTATTGCCAAGTTGATTTTGAGTATATGAACAATCAAAACAAAAAAAAATTTCACATTGGCTTTAAAAAAAAAAAGCCTTATAAACATGACTATCAGGACACCATAATTGAAAGGAAATTATTTTTTTTAAATGAAATTGAAATTTACACAAAAATGAATTATAAAACATGTTGACATGCAATAAATACATTCAGTTCTTTAAGCAAAGTAAAATCAATATTGACAATGAAATGCAGAAAATGTTATTTGGTTAAATGTATTGCTTTGAATTGCCTTCATGGCATTGACGTTTAGCTTAATATGTCTGCTAAAATAAGATCCTGTCCTGCACCAAACATTCTAATTTATATTTCAAATGAGTCACATATGCTCCTTCGAGTATTATTTTCCTCATTTATCCGCAGCTACTACTGTCTGCGTGGCAGTCTGTGCTACTTCTGAACTTTCTTATCCGTCAACCACATCCAGTCGGGAACAAACACCTCGAAACGTCACACTGATCTCCATTCGCTCACGATCCATCATTTCACAACGCAGCCATTTCCCAAAACCAGAGTAAATTGTTTTTGCGGGTGTGTGACTATATGTGTGTGCGAGACACTTAAGGCTGTGCAACATTTTGGCGGGTGTTTTAGCGTCTGTTTAGCAGTCAGTAGCTTTAGCTTTTCTTTAATAATGGCTTTTTCTACAAAAAGCTGCAGTCCGAACAGTGCAGGGAAACCTTATTAAATCTGATCTAATCTGGATTTGAGCATCGGTCTGCCGTGCAGCTGTGTGCGTCTACGGGAGACGTACGTGTGTGTGTTTGTACGTGCAAACTTTCACGTGTGTGAGAAACACACACACATATCAAATATTCTCATTGACCAACATTTGCTCTTACAAATTCCAGCTAGTTTTGTCCTTGCTCTGTTTGTCTTTAAAATTTAAGCTTCTGGAGCAGAAGTTGTACACTGTAAACAAAAGGATTCCAGCCAAAGTCCACTCAGTTTGTCTTGTATGTGCTCAAGGTAGAAACAGAGGTCCAAGCTAAACAGATGGAAGACGACGCGGGCAGCCAGAACCCCCTTTCACTAATCAACTGCAGAGAGCCTACAGCGGGTCGTGTGCTTATCGGGTGATAATTGTTAGGTCTGGAAAAAGGATGGGGGCGCGATGACTCGAACATTAATATCTAGAAGAAGAAAAAAAAAATGTGACAATAATCAGCAGCAGTGAACATGAAAAGGCAAAAATATAAAATGTCTAAAATAAATGAAATCGAGTAAGCTCACAGAATGAGTTGGGAGGGTGAAGGGGGGGTAAAGAGTCTCAGCTTTTCCTTGTGATTTATTGAAGGTTGTGACTATCAAGCACAAGCAATTTCTCTCTCTGTTGCTGCTTCTTTTTCCTCTCGACTGATCTCTCTTGTTCTCTCCATCTCGGTGCATGACTTGGCTGGTGCAGCGGAGGCTCAATTGTGCAATTTATAAGTGTTTACTTTACTGGCATCTTTCAGAGAATATTTTCCCCCAAACATTTCCCCTCACATTATTCTGCATTTCCTCTACAACGATATGCTGCCTTTAATCTTCCTTTGTAAGCCCTTTCTTGGCTTGGAAATCAGAGTACTTTTTTTTTGGTTTTAATTACTATTTGGCCCAACATCTCCTGTATTTTAACACATGGCGCAAAGTTCGTTTGGGAAACTGATCAGGGCTTAGAGAAAAAGCTCCTCCTCACATAAACGTTTAGACAACCGTCTTCGTCAGCATGAAAAACAGCTGGAAGTAAGTGGATCAAGGGAAGGGGGCAGTGGGCGCTGGGGGTCAACGGTTTGTGTTGAGTGTAAGAAGAGAGAGGGGACAGAGAGGGGGAGAGAGGTGAGGAGGGAAGTTGTGTCTCGAGGTAACAAGGGCGATGATGAACGAGCGCGGCCAAATTCCAGAGAGGGGAAGAGGAGGAGAGCAAAAGAGAGCAAGGTGCGAGAGGAAAAGGGCAGTTGTGGGACTTCTAGGGGATCATAGAAAAAATAAAATCACAACACAATGATTTTTCCAGAAAAGTGCTGTCTGGGGAAATAAATCTCAAGCAGCTGCTTGTAATTACAACTCTTGAAGGTGTCAAATTTCTTTGAAAGTGAAATTTCTTGTACTTCACCCTGCTACACTGTGGGAAAGGTGATCAGACATGTAGATGGACAGGTGCACTGTGTGGACACGCATGCATATATATATATATATATATATATATATATATATATATATTACACAAGCGGATCCAGAATCATCAATGCTTGTTATATTGCGTGTCACTATTTGGTTTGAACACCAAGACAAGGCTTGATTATTGATATAATCTGGCTCTAGTTTACATATAAAATTAGTCCTCATGAAAATAAATATGTACACAAAAAAAAAGTGGTATATCCCACTTTCTCTCTCAAGCCACAGTAGACACATACTGCAGATAATAGGTTTCATAATAAGGCAAACTCCAGTTGGTCAGAAGCTTAGTCTGAGAATGAAACCCGTGGAAACTAAAAAAATATCTCAGTTTTTCTTTGGGGGGGGATCTGCGATGTCTGCTAATGCTCCAGTACTTTTTTCACGCGTATAGAAATACAATAAAATGTCAAACGGCGCTATGATTGCAGATCGGGACCATGCAGGCTGTCAGATTCACAGAGGTGACCTCTGCCTGCTGCCGCTGGTAGAAAGCTTAATGACATACTTTACATTTTTTTACATTTAACCTCAACCCCTTTTTGGTCTAGCGCCATTGGACCTCATCCAGGTTTTCTACTTCTATATTGTTAGTGTTATAAAAGTTACAGGCCTGGGCTGGTTGCCATAACAACATGAGAGGAATAAAGTGGCCGAAATACTAACAAGTTGTTTTATCTTCCTACACTCATTTATATTTGCATTTATTCATTTTTATTATAATAAATTAATGTAATTAATTCTAGCAATTTCAAAACATCTTCGTCTAAACCACTTTGTGGCCATAAGAGGTTATTCTGGTTTGCTGTATAAAAGTAAAATAAAGGCATAAAAACCAATTGGAGCAAGGGGCATACCAGTAAATTAAAACAATGCTTTTGTAATTTTACTACAGAGCAATAATACTGCAATTTCTTTATTTGGATTTTCATTATAGTTTAGTATAGCCAGCCCAAAGTAAAAATTCATGAATATGAAACAATATTGTCATGAACCAATTTATCATCATCTTTGCTGCGCGGCCCTTAAAAAGGCCATCATGTTGTATCACCGTGACACTGAGCAGAGGTCTATTCCCAAAGAGCAAAGAGGGGAAGGAAAAGAGAACATACAGTATACTTGTTTTCTGAATGGTGGGTTTCAGAAGTACGAACAGGCTTTCATACTGAGACAATGGCTCGCATCCACCCTGCTGCGCCGTTCCTGCTCCTCTCCCTCCCCATCCTCCACCTCTCTATCTGCCTCTGAGCAGAAACACACGGCACATCCTGCTCAGCGCAACACACCAGCCAAAAGTTCACTTCCTGCTCCTCAGCTCTTCTCCTTCACGCCGACCCTATTCCCAGGACGTGCATTAACAGCCCTCCAAACGCTCGAACAGCATCGTGACACACAAACAGACAAGCAAACGCTTCCCCTCTCCTTAGATGCACAACCCCTCCCTCTGCGCCCGTCGTACACATTAATGCAATTAAGCAAATTTCAAACGGTGCACATCCCACAGAAATGTTCAGCCATTATCTTGCTCTACCCCCCGTGCAAAGATTTGGAGTGACAGTGGAAAACCCTGTGATTTGTGTGTTGTTTTAATGGTGTAAGGCATGGAAAGGAAGGAGAGCAAGTTTGAGAAGATGTGAGAGGTCTGAAAGTCCCACAACTCATGTTTAGCACGTAAGCACAAGATGCCGTTTAATTGAAGCTATACTTTCGTTTTATTTGTCACACAGCTAAACAAAACAGTCCCACTACTTGAAGCATCATCCAAAACAAGCCAACTTCCTGTGTGTTTTTGTGCATTTGCAGCGTATGTCTGACTCTCGGCCTTCACTAAGTTCTGGAGGAAAGGAGTCACACAGAACGAGTCCAGGTTTCACACTCGCCCTGAAAAGCCGCTGCGCGTCTGTTAAAAGGAAGTACGGGGAGCACGTTGTGTCTCGTGGAGACCTTTCAAAGCACGACACCAGTCACCTAGAACTTGCAATGCGTGGTTGAAACCAAAGATTGACGCTCACTAAAGGAAGGTTCAGAAATTCACAGACAGCCAGTTGAAACACTACCAAAAACACTTTGCCTTACGTTGAAAGAATAGCATTGGTCAGACCTGTACAAGCCTCTTTGAGGACACAATAGAACATGTATACAGCATTGTAAAAATGAAAATAAAATAAAATGTTAATACCACATATTATCTCTCCACCATAAAACTGTAACAAGAAATGTATAAACACAGAAATAACCACAGGTTTAACACAGGACAACTGCCCTGTTAATATACAAAATAAAATACGGTTTGTGAGTGTGCATCTGTGTGTTGATAATCCAAAAGTTTAGTAAAGCTTAGCATCCCCATGCTGGGTTCAGTCCTGAGGTAAGCACCAGTTTCACGTGCGCTGCTTTCAGTTCAAACCAAAATAAAGAAAAGTAAGTGACAGAAAACAACATGTTTGATATGATCATATGCTACAAAAAAAGAGAAGCCCTTAAATTATTGTTACATTGAAAACAAAAACATCTTAAAAGTCAGGCACATTGTTGTTTGGTTTTTGCCTTTAAGATTCACCACCTCTATCACAGTGTATTTATGGCTTTAGTCTTCACATTCACCCACTGAGGTTGGCATTGGCGCTATAGTGATCAGACATTTTTGTTCTAAAACAAGGACCAGTAGAAAAGTAAAGAAAAGGACAGCGTGTTCTTTAAACATTCAAAATGTTTTAGACAAAACTGCGCCGTCAACCCGCAGCCTTTAAGTGCTCTTTTGTTTTCAAGCCGGAGGAACTGCTGGTCAGCCAACACAGAAATGTGTCATTCTTTGTTTCCGCGTTTGATACCAGCGGGGAAGGGAGGCCAGGCCGGCAGACATTTGCTAGCCTCGGACAAGATGTTAATAAGTGGATCAGCGGGGTAAGATGGCAGGCATGAAATGGGACATCACGCGGGGGCGAGCAGTGGGAATTGTCCAGGAGAAAGTGAGATTTCACAGGGCTTACTGCAGGCACAGCAGCTGGCCGTTCACCTCGCCGGCCCAGGGAAGGCCCACAAACTGTTTCTTATTTTTCATATCAATGACAGATTAGCAGCTTGCTAAGTGTGTGTGTGCGTGTGCAGGGGGGGAGAGGTGGGGGGTGCATATGTGTGTGTGGCCGGTGGAGTGGAGCGCGTTTAAGGCGCTCACTTTTGGCCCGTCAACAGTAGCTGGGGGACCCAGACAACAGACTGCAGGGGAGGGAGGTCAAATGACAGCGGAGCTGCAAAGCGGCATCCGACTATACGACCCGCTAAACGCCGACGCGCTGTGCTGTCAAACTCAACATTTTCTGTGTAATTCATTCTGTCCGTGGCCTCGCCGATCGGCTGCCTCGGTAATTGCAAAATGTTACGAAATGTCAGCGCCACCACCCCAGCTTCGTCTACAGCATGAGACAGAGATACACTCATCATGAACAGGGATTAGTGTGTCATCAGCTGGGTATGTGCGATCATGTCCCAGTTATGAGATCACAGGGCCGTGCTAACTGCCTCTCAATAACAACTGAAAGCTGCGATGCAGAGAAGATTTTAGCTCAAGGAGGGTTACACGCTAACACAAGGCTACGGCTGATTAAGCTACTATTACTGTCACATAGTTGGAGCCTTTATCCGCGGCACAAAACGCGGGGGAGTGAGTTACTTTTCAAAATGTGGAGGAAAATAAAACAGAGGCAACTTGAGGGAAACGGTGAAGCCGTTGCTCTTATCACTTCCCTACAACTTGGGAAGCCTTAACATGATTTGGAGACGCTGGAGAGGGAGATACATAAATTGTCCAGCACCCCCACAACAGAAAGAAAAAAAAGGAGAAAAAAAGATATAATATACATCCAACCATTACGTTAAAGTACAGAAGAGTTTGCTTACTCATTTGGTAAAAGTTCCGCTCAGATCTGGACCAAAACCCTGACACTTGTCCTTATGTGCTTTTTCATTTTTTATACAAAAGATAATATTTAATAGTAAACAGGTTTAGGGGACGGTTTCTCTTTGGATTTCATAATACAAAAATAAATTACAAAAACATTTCAATTTCATTTTGGTTTTCAATTTGGCTCAATGGCTGTAATTTCTAAACGTTTGTTTGCATATACTGCACGTGTTTGAGTGATTGTCTCTTGGTCACAGAATAGCATAGAGCTCCTTTATGCAGGAGCACTTTAAGACACATTAGATGCATAGAAAGGCACTTAGAGTTTACACACTTTGGTGTGCAGGAAGTGACCAATTCCTCTTGGCCTGAGTCTGAGGTGCAGTGGAGCTATCGAGTTGAGGTGAATGGCTTTAGAATACTGCAAGTTGTGTGTGTGTGCGCACACAGGCCGATTGGTGAATGCCATTTATACAGCTCTAGTGGTCTTAGCTGGGTGAGTAGCGGCCGATGGTGTGGGCTTCAGAGAGGGCCTGTTGGGGAGGAGGGAGGGGTTGACCCAGGACGTCCATCTTGTCGTGGGAGATACCCAGGTGCTCCGAGGCCCGTTTGGACAGGGGGTAGAGGCTTTCCATGACCTTTGCGTCGGCAACAAGTTGCTGCTGGGCTTGGATGAGAAGCTCGTTGGCCTTCTCCGGCTTCAGCCCCAGGTGCTCCGCTGCGTATTTACTCAGAGGATAGATGCCCTCAGAAAAGTCCAGCTTCAGCTTCCCATCTGTGGTCAGGCTTCCAGCAGACCCGCCACTGCTGTGCATCTTCATGTGGCTGATGAGGTTGCGCTGCTGAGCGAACTTTCCCCCGCAAACCTGACATTCGTAGGGCTTCTCCCCGGAATGGATTCGCATGTGCTCGGTGAGGCGATACTGGCGGGTGAAGCGCATGCCACAGGAATCGCACGCAAAAGGTTTGAGGCCCAGATGGCTGCGCATGTGGCGGGTCATGGTGCCCCGCTGCGTGAATTTCTTGCCGCAGATGCTGCAGGGGTAAGGCCGGGTCAGCCAGTGGGTCTTCTCATGCTGCCGCAAAGTTGCTGGGTCTTTGTAGGACTTCTCGCAAGAGGAACAGCGATAGGGTCGGATCATCTCGCCGAGGCCCCCTGAACTCAGCCCCTGGCTGGACTTGGTCTCCAGGTGGGACAGACAGTTCAAACTGTTGCTCCCATAACCGTTTGTGTTACTGCTTGCGTTTTTCGTGCTGCTGTTATTGCTGTTTCCCATCTCCCCGCCAGAGTTGCCATACAGCTCCTCCTCCGTGTGTGTCTCCACGTGCGCATTGAGCTGCTCTGAGCTCGGGAAGCCTTTGTCACAGGGGATGCAGACATAGAGATTGTCCCCGAAGCTCTCTGGCTCATAAGGCATGTGGAACCGGCCCATCAGCCCAGACGGGGACGGGCGGCCTTCACTACTGCCCGTCTCCTCTGTGCCCGACCCGCTCTTGTCGTCTGCTCCCTCGCTCTCCTCCCCGGCTTTGTGGTGGTTATGATGCTGGTCTCCATTTTCACCCCCTTCCTCCTCATCCTCGTCCTCATCTTCATCTTCAGCCGTGTATGATAGGGGCTCATTTTTCACCCAGCGGTAGATGTTGCCCATATCTCTGGCCGCCTCTCCGGCTTCCGTCGGGGTGTCAGGGCTGGGGGGGCATGGGTAGCGGTCTCTGGCCCGGGAGCCTGAGCGGTGCAGGTGGGGGAGGTGTGGGCCAAGAGGCTGGTTGAGATGGGGGAAATGTGGAGGAGTGAGGGAGCTTCCCTGGTCGGTTGAATCCATTTTTTCTGAGGGGAAGGGCCTTCCATTCGTCCCATGCATGGGACTGGCGCGGCCGCTCAGACTCCCGTCTTGCTCCTCGTCGTTGTGGGCGTTCGCCAGGTGGGCTCGAGACGGTGTGTGCTGCGACTGGGAATTGGGGCTTTTCTTGGAGAGATCAAGGCCGTAGTTGGGGGAGCGGTTCCTCTCAGGGTGGGCCGAGCGCCCGAGCTGGGCGGGCAGAGCTGACTGCAGGGACGGGAACACCTGAGAGCCCTGGAGGGAGGTTGGAGCGTACAACTCCCCAGCATGGATGGCTAGCCGATGGGGAACTAGCTCCTCTAGTGGTGATGCACGGGTTGCGTGGCTGTTTAAAATCCCTCCAGGAGGGCAGGATTGAATGACAGGGGTAGAAATCCTATACCTGCCACCACCCCCTAAACCCATGCTGTTGGGCACTATCTTTGGATAGGGCAGAAATGCAGGACCTGGGCGGGGAGGGTACTTGCCATTTCTTTTCAGCTTCTTTTTGCACAAAGCCACCAAGTCAAGCAGCTGAAGGTAGCTGGCTGCTGCCAATACAGCGCCTAAATTGGGTTCAGTGGGAGAGGTGGGGTCTCCATCACTAAGGCGGCCCGTGTAAATATAGTCCAGAATGACCCTGAAGACCCCTGGACTCACCATCTCGTGGTCGAGGTTGATGAGATTGTCGTGGACCACCAAAGATTTCAAGTAGAGGCTGCTGGCAGCCAGAATGTTCTTATGAGCTCTGAACAGAGCATTCTGCACCACAATGATAACATCACACAGAAAGCCTTTGGTTCGTTGGCTGTTGAGCTGCAGGAGGAGATCCCGAGCATGGCTTGGAACTTCCATGGCACCCAGCATCGTCTTCAGTCCGCCACCTGCAACAACAGATATCTGTATCATGTGGCAGTCAGCATTTCAATTGTTTCAAGTGAACAGTGAATTGTGTGAAAATAATCAGACTATATTTTAAATATATTTGAGAGGAATTTTATTGCCTTCAAACGAGTAAAAAACAACGGATTTCCGACATATCGCATAATGGTAATTAATTGTAAAAGCTACAGTTTACAAAAACATGTTTAATTCTTTGATTGTCCTCAATGCAAGGTGCACAAAAGTAGAACTTTTGGGTGAAAGTGCACATGGATGCTACTTGTTAAACAGTTGCAATGGTTTTCTCATTATCAGAAATTCAAGTCAACGCATTCACTTCCTCTGCAGTGACCAAGAAGAAAGCTCAAAATTCACAGAACGCCAGATCACTATGTTGTAACCGCTGGCTTCCTGATAAAGTACTCCAGAAGTAGTGTGCAGGGTTTTAAACAAAGCAAGGAATGAATGTTTCACAAGTATGATGAGCAGCAGGAAGAAAGCTGCGAAGGACGCACACATTCAAAAAAAGATGGATCTTTCAGCACCATTCAGATAAGGAACACGGAACGCATGTGATGTAAATCACCGGTGCGTTGAGATTAGTTCTAGGGATCTAATGCGCACACACACAGATTCTTACACACACACACACACACACACACACAGCAACACTAATTGCTCCATCAAGCTTAAAATAAACTATATGAACTGCATGCATGAAACCCTGTGTATTGTTCAACTGGTGGCATCTGAGGATATTTTAGACATGAGATTAAACGTCTCACACTGTCCATGGGTTTAGTCTCACTTCTGGGAAACAACCTACTAAATAAATATCATGTCATCTGTCTAATTATGGTCTTCCTGAACCAGCTCATTCACTCCTTGTTTATTTCATTCGGTGTACACGCTCTGCTCAAGAATAGGGAAGCATGAAATCATCTAAAATACAGACGGATAATTAAGTTACTCGGGAAATCTTGAGAATCCTGAACAGAAAGCCATATGACTATTAAGCCCCCACCCCCCCACCCCCGCCCGCCAGCCACAATAGTTCACTCCAAAACTTCAAAGTCATTCATTAACACAATTGCAGCTGTGTATTTTTTCATAAACGCATGTTCAGCATTAGGCGTCTAGCATCAGAAGGAAACACTGATTTCATCACTGGTGGAAAATGAAGAGACAGAACAATCATGACGTCCAGCTCGTGGTCATGTGGAGAACAGTCATCCCAACTGAGGAAAATAGCTTTTCATGAAAATAATTATTATCTTCAGTGATTCTATGCCCATGTATGAATTGCATGCTATTTATTATATAGTCATGAATATTAAATAAATTGAATACTAAAAAAGTGGGTACGACAGGTTCCCTCCCCATTATGTCCCCATGTTGTCATCTAAAGTGTTTCCACCGCTGGTTTCTGTCTGGCTTTGATTACTCAACGGTCATATTTTACTATAAATTTCACAGTCGGTTAGATCAAAGGTGTTTGGAAAAGAGAGTGATATGAGGAATAGACCAAGTGCTTTAAACAGCGTGCTGAGCTTGTGCAGCCTCCATTGCATTAAGGGGTGTTTAGCTTACCGTTACTGTGACCGCTCGGCATGACACAGTGTTTACTCACATACACAAGATCAATGTACATTCTCGTCTGTTTGTGGCCTACACAACCTTATTATGCAACACAGTTTAATTGCATAACAGAAAGTTGAAACCATTTTTATAACAGATTCATGCTATCAGATTTTTTTTTTTTGGAGTTTTTAAATCCTAAGAAAAGTAAAATAACTCACGCAGAATTCTAAATATCTGTGCACCTGCAATATGCTAACGCGTACAAAAAAGTACACCTGGCGATAGGAGTTCTTTCTCTGTGTCGACAGTATGAGTCTTTGAAGAAGCGATAACTTGCCTTTCAAAATATCTGAGCTCACTGTTTGATTTAGCCTACTGACAGAAAATGAAAGACCACAGACAAACATGATTTATAATACTCCTGATGCGGAGGGCATGTGTCAGCCCATAGCATCCTGTCAGATGGCCATCTGTGATAGAAAGGATTTCTAGTGGGATAACATCTCGCTATAAGGTTCTCTGAGAATGTACGAAGCCTGTTGGAGCTATTTTTGTTAATGTGTTTGTGATAAACAGGCTAAATTAAATCATTGATGTAGGTTGCTCATACTCGAGTCATTCTGATGCAGCATGTGCCAATCTGATAGTATTGTTTTTTTTAAAACCCTGTCTACATAATGGAAACTTTACGTGTTGCATTGATGACATTAAGTTATTTGCATTAGATTAGAATTAATTCCCCTGGGTTTTTCTCTGTTTTGTCACTTTGTGGTTTGGGGTGAAGTGGGAGACTAAACCTCTTACCTCTACATGCAGCCTCAGTCACATAAACACTCCAGACATCTGTTTAAAACATTGTGTTGACATTTTGTTTTCTTTCATTTCAATTTGCTACCCATGCTCTTGCCTCCTTGTTTTCTTTAGAACCCATTTAACCATATTCACATACAGGCCATGTTTAATTTATGAGGCAACACTGCAGTGCAACGTCACTGTAAAATAACAAGAAGATATTTTACTGTCATTTAATACTTTCACTTTTTTTCTGTGACTCCCAAGAGACAAATACGCAAACTAAATTTCACACTGACTTTCATATTTAGCTGAGAGAAACTGCATCCTTAAGGGCAGATCGAACTGCAGCACCACGATGGGTGAAAATGAGTTAAAGTCAGCCAATATCATGGAACATACAAGTCAGTTTCCTGCGTTACAGCTGTAATCACGCATCTACATTTTGAACACATTTATGAAGAAAAAATACCGTCGGAAGTCTGACAGCATTTTCCTAACGGTGCAGATAACGGATGATAAAATTGAACACATATGTGCGAGCGTGCGACTTCTACATCAGATTATTCCACTTGAACGAACGTTATGCTTGCATTGCTTATTCTTAAAAACGTCTCAAACCTTCGTTTGAAAATTACTTTTAAATGTAAGCTCTGAGGGTTTTATTGGCTCGTGTCACGGTTGATCGCTCACCGAGATTTAAAGTTCATCGCCTAATGTCATTTGGGAACTTCACGTCCCGTCTTTAAAGCAGAACATGGAGTTGTCTGCTGACTTGGTGTGTGTGGCGCGCCTCTAATCGGTTTTACTCTCCACATACTATACAGAAACCCGGATCACGAGTGACTGCATTTCCCCTCCTCGTCCTCGAACACTTCACCAGATCTCCGCCAAAAGAGCCTTAAATCACCTCCAGAAGAACCGTGTGTGCGCTTCTAGCGTGGACGATCAGCTGTTTGTCCTTCAGCGCAGGAGCTTCTTTCACGTCGAGCTACACGTATATAAAATACTGGCTTTTATCACCTTTGTAAACTGAAATGTTAACACCAAAAATATTCCTACAATAGTCGTTGGCGTTTCTGTGTTCGCCAAAAACTCGGAAGTGGTATTATTGCACACTGCTGAACCTGATTAATATTATCTAGTAGAGAAGTCGTTATTTTATGGTTTCTTCCTTCGTGAATTTATTACTGAATAAGTTGAAGTTCCCTTTTAACAGAGACAGATGTTCCCTGAAACTTTTGCATTCAATTTGCATTATTATAATTATTAAAATAATTTAACCAAATGTTTGAAAAAACAAATAGTGACATACATTTACTGGGAATTTTTAAGCATTTTAAAATCTATATAGATTTTTCAGATTAAATTTAGTGTTGTGTGTCATTGGAGACAAAACAGATTTTAAACTAACTCAAATAGATTCGGTCAAAAAAAAAAGAATAGATAGACGGCACCACTCTTCTCGATGTTAAAATCAAACTGTAATGAAAGAGGTAAAGCGCAACATGATATACAACGAAAACATTTCAACAATTCATTAAAAACGCACTCTCTTGCACCATGCGCTGCATATAAAAAGATTTTTTAAAAACCTCCACGTCAAGCTTCCCCTGTTCGTGTTTGGCGGCCAGCGCGTGTTCAGCATATCAGCTCTTACCTGCATGCCCGATGTCTTCTGCCATCCGATCTAAGTCCCCCTTAATGATCATCTCAGCAGCCTAAGAGTCATATCTGACGTTTCAGCTTTGAACTGCCAGCCTCCAAAAAAACATGCCAGTTTTCCGAGCGCGTCTGCCAGCTCTTTTTTTATGATTATTAATTGATATGAAGTTCTTGTCGCTCCTTGGGTCCGTCCTCCCACCCACTTTCCTCCCTCTCCTTCTTTCTGCGTGTCTCTGCCCCTCCTCTCCCCTCTTTCTCATCCTCTGCTATAAAAAAAAAAATACTTCGGTTTCCTCCTATTTTTTTTTCGAGTAATTTCCTTTGCTATTTTTGAGTCGCAGCAATAATACGCACCGGGATGATAATGGAGCCTCTATGCGCCTTAAGTGTTTTAGCGCCCCGTGTGATGTCAGTCTATAATAAAACTAAAAAGGTAAAATCGAGGGCAGGAACTTCAACTGACCCCAACTTGAACTTCTCAACACATCGTCTTAAAGAGACAGGCAGCAATTGCCTACGCACGTATGTTGCGCGTTTATGAGAAAGAAGTCCACATTTGCTTTGGAGGTAACTTTAATAATGGAGGCACCTGGACCCACATCAAGCGTTGCTGGAGCGTTTCATGTTTCGGACCTTCAAGGAATTGGAACCCCCCCCCTCCAATATCTGCCATATCTAATATCATTGTGTCCCTGAGGCCAAAATAAATCCAAATCCTGCTGCTTTATTGTGTCATAGGGATAATCCATTCAAACGTATTAATTCATAGTAGGCCTACGCTTTTTAATTAAGTACAAATAATACACCTGGTAAAAGAAGGCGTGTCTCACCTGCAGTCCTCCCCTGAGAAGAGTGTGACAGCCCGCCTATAGGCTGCAGCTTTTGGAAACGTTTTTTCACCACAAGGGTTTCGACTCATAACATAATGATGATCCTTCTTTCACTTTAAGCCCGCGTCCTTATGCCAAACATCTTCTCCACAAGACCATGTTGGTGTAGGATTTAAATATGGCAGGATTAAAAACAGAGAAATATCACATTAAAATGTTGCGCGAGTGACTGTAAATCTCAACTATCAGCGTGAGGCCGGACGCGCTCATCTGATCCAGATGCTGAAGCCTCGTCGCTGAGGGCAACATCAGGACTATCGGCTCCAAGCAGTGAGACATTCAAACGTGGATAAACTCAACATGATAGACTACTAAAGAAAAAGTGTCACTTACACGTCAGCCCAAATCACATCCCCCCCCCCCCCTCTCTCTCTCTCTCTCTCTCTCTCTCTCTGCCGTCTCTCGATCTTACCTCGGGCTCATGTCTGGAGCGCTGGCCGTATGTCTGCTCTCCTTCTCGGCATTCCCTCATTAGGACCTCCGCAGTATCCGCCGTGTCCCGCTCAGTCTCTCGAAAGGTCTATGGAGCACAATCTCGCCGCCCTCGGTGTCCCCCGCTTATTTCACCCTCTTCCGTGCCCTCGCTATCTCACGTGTTAACAAGACAGTCTGACACTTGTGACGATCCGGGGTCCGGTCGGACCAAAGCTGCCGGAGGAGAGTTTACGCGCACAGCGACACCCAATGGAGGAAGTTGGCAGTCGTAAGGCACAAGTTTACTCTGTGCTTTACTGTATGAAAAACACACAGTACATTAGAAAGTCTATGTTATATTGTTGCATTTTTTATTTTTAAGCTGTATGTTTTTTTGATTGCACTTTGCCTGTGTGGGTCGATGTTTCATGCACTGCGTTTGTTAAGGGCCTGACAGGCAGTACTGACACTCAAGCGCAAAACGACAGCGGAGACCAGGTAGATACTTATTTAATAAAGGTTATACACGGGTGATCAGTCAGGCAAATGAGTCCAGCAGGGGTAATAATCAAAGGTCCATAATACAGGGGGGGTCTTGAAACCGACATCTTGATCCACACTTGAGTCCTCACAGCGAAGAACAACTACAATCTGACATTGCAACACGTTTATATGTGAGGAAACCCCTTGGGGCTAGAGACTTGATACAGGTGAGGGGATTGAGTGATCAGGAAAAAAAACCACATGAGGCTAACGAGGGGCTACAGCATTGGAGTTGATGTGGAGGCTGATACGTATGTGTGTGTGTGTGTGTGTGTGTGTGTGTGTGTAATTGTAATTTGAACTCATCTGAACAGTTGAATAAGCGGTTAGATGTGATATTTCCCTCGATCACCATAAAAACTTTGTCTGTTAATGTCCCTTCATATCTTTTAAGAGCCACCCTCATGTGGGGTGATGTGTTGAAACGGATGACACTGCTCTTCACCATCGCGCCGGTCATTAAAAAGCACTAACCAGACTATTTATGTTTGTTTTGATCACAACAGCAGCTGACAATCTCGTAATGCATGTCTTCCTCTTGAAATGATCCGACTGCATGGATGCTGGTGTTTCATTGAAGTGATCCGAGCCACCCCGAGAGCCCGTTAGAGTGGAGGAAGGTATTGTCTCTCACTTCCATGTTCCCTCGATGAACTGTTGATAACCCCCCAGACAGAGGTAAGCAGAGCAGCGCGGGAGAATGGATTCATTCTATCAAGGATGTGACAGCGTGTTTCAATTCATAGTCCAAAATAGTTTTTTTCCACTTAAGGAAACACATAGTAATATCATCATGCTGCACGTTGATGTCTTTTTTGTTTTCATTTACACACCTTTGAAAACAAGACTGGCACTGCATTATTGTCAATTACTGCATTTTTATGCAACAATTATTTATCTAATTATTGTATTAGATGTAAAAGATTGCATTTAAGATATACAATGATTGCGCGTATTCAAAAATTGGCATTTTATAAAGATTTGCAGCTCAGTATGGAATAAAAGCCCGCAAATCTGTTAAATTGGACAACAACCCTTTGGGCCACATGTTGCTTATAGAAATACATAACAACACGAAGGGCTTTGAGGCTTGATAGCAAAACCAAGATACTGCTTATCGCACACATAAGTGTGTTAACCATTGGTATGTAAAGTCAGTTTAATATAGTAGAGTTTCTTTATTTGAGAGGATTAAGGAGTTTTTTTTAAGTGTGATACTATAAAAACCTAATATTAGTTTCTCTGTGTTTCCACTGCTGTCTTTCTAGACAAACCATATCTCACTAATCAATCAGCCTCCAGAGGCTTGTACTGGACGTTAAACTCCAGCCTGTCAAAACACAAGTCAGCATTCCGTAATCTGGAGCGCAGCAACCCTGAAATGCTGAACTTTTAATGAACCGAAAAAAAAATCTGCGGGTTGTAAGCAATGATTCAATTAAAGCAGCGAGAGCCGGGGTCCAAACACAGCCCGGGGAGCCCATCCCTGAGACGTGTCTGCTTCCCCAAAGACCAACACTCAGTGAGGAAGTAGAGCTTGAGATAAGGCAGGCTGAAAAGCTAAATCCCTCCACAGTCTGCTGTCACCTTCTAAATCACACACCTTTCCCATCCTTTCTCCAAGTGTGTGAGTGTTGCAGGTTTTTACACGTGATGGATCGGATGTGGAAACACAATAAGGCGGTGGATATTTCGAATGACTGCGGGCAAATTTTTCAGACGTCCGTGAGCAGATATGCCGCAGGGTCACCGTGTCTCTGAGGCCACGACCACCTCGTTTCAATATAGTTTTTTTCAGTGACGAGTATTGCGATCCCCTTTTAGTATTGCTCCGTTTTTTGTGAGCCGGCACAGAGACTCGAAACTACTCACACGAGGCCTTTTGCTCTCCCTTCTTTATTTCATTGCCATCAATGAGCTGTCTCTCCTTTCTTTGTGTCTTCCCTTCCAGTGGACACGGCCACACATGTCTCCAAATGCTTACCGGGACCACCCCACAATACCACACTCTCGTAAGTCATTGTAACGAGCAGCTTTGGCATGTGTTTGTTGTGTGTGTTTGGTCGCTATTCCAGTCGCACATCTGCCGGTGACGGACATTTATATCGTCACGATTGGAGTCAAAAGTTTAATTTACCGAGGCCTATGCAAAATAGATTCTGTTTTTTAGGTTACTGAATTTGTGCAACTTCTTCCATTTTCATCATATCAAATGCAATCGATTTGTCAAATTTGACACAAGAAGTGAAAAAATGAATGTGTCTCTTTCGTAACCGAGTGATTCAGGTTCACTATTTGCGTTTCTGTACCCAGAGAAAATACTGCAATCGGCTGACAAAACTTTCTTACAAGATCCACTTAGTATTTAGGAGCTTTTGATCTTATCACAGAATCTTCTTCTGTAAACTGATTTTACAAAGATGTGTTAAAATCGTTGTTTCTACTTTTCCAAGGTCATGAATGAACCTTTGACTCCAACAGGCTCCGGTCTATGAGACGCTGTAAACACAACACTGATTGACATTATCCCCCTTTTGAGTTTGAGTTGAGTTGTTTCTGGGCACCTGGCGAATGGAAGTCCAATAGTCCTTCTAACTGCGGTTTGATCCTCATCACCTCCTGAGGAAAATATCTGGCTCGTCAACAACTAAATGCTCCACTGTGTTCACAAGCCAGTCATCAATTTGGTCTGCGTACTGTTTGGTGCCGAGCCGGTTGCCTGTACTAAGGGTTTTTTCACTGAAAACCACTTCTTGCCGTGTCCAATAAGCCGTGCTGGTGAGAGCGGCAAGACCGAACTAAAAAGCTGCGGTCAGAAAAGCAAAACGATGAGTTGAAAGACGCTAAAGCGCTTCGTAAAGCTGCAGGGAATAACTCTCTGTCGGAGTGTGACTACCAGCGATCCCTTTTATGGATATGTCATCCATTGTTGATATAGAGAGATTTTGCAACTGATCGCAGTTGAAATATTTGCAATTAAACGAAATGAGGCATCTAAATGACTCTTTAGCACGCGTCAACCCCGTTCACCAGCATGGCCTTGTTAGCTTAGTCCTCCCTTCTCTCTTGCTGAAGTGTGGCTATGTAGCTTTGTATGAAGGCGTACAGGCCAAGCCAGCGGGCGTCTGTTCGGCACATGGCTGTCCAATGCACGGTCTCTGCTCCCCCGGTCTCTCCTCATTAGCCTCACACACTGCAGCCCCCCCTCCCTCCTCGCCTCCCTCCTCTCTACCTTCACAGCACACACAAGGGGAAGAGCAAAAGCTTTTGTTCTCCGTGTCCGAACCCCGCCGCCCCGTTGCAGCCCTCCTTCTTTTCTCTCCTTCTCCTCTCCGCTGGCTAAATCTCTTTTCCGGCTTGATACTGCTGAAAACCATATGGCGTGTGACATCATCAGGGCAGGAAGCAGGGAGAGGGGAATGGTAGAGGAGGGGAGAGATTGGCTCGCCAGGTCTATGTGCAGTGATGTCAGCAGAAAAGACTCTGGGAGGCCCGTTGGGGGGGTTGAGAGCAGAGCGGAGCAGGTTGGACATTTGTTTCTTTTTTCTTTAGATGTAATTCCCACCTGGATAATCAGGGGCTGGAGGTGGGCAAGTAGAGAGGCAGCACACAGCTTGAAGTAAACCATAATGTACTTTGTTAACACGTCAAGTCATGAACTTTCCTGCACTCGTGTGCAGGTGCGGCCGCAATACTTTCTGTCAAATCAGATGGATTTCATTAAGTTGCAAATAAGCCTTTGGCCATCTTAAGATGTCTTGGTTTCATCCTACGATGCTGAAGAACTTCTTCAGCTCATCTATCTCCTTCTTCCTTTTTAGTCACTGGCCGTCCCAATCTGCTGACCAGGCTTTACGTCTGTCATCCTCCCTCCCTCCGGCTTTTGTTCTCTGAGTGAACTCTGCAGCTTGCTATGAGATCCTGGTCCCATACCATCACCACGGACCCATCCAGCTCTCTATCAGCACGGGCAGAGATACACACAAACACTCACACAGTCAACATCTCACGCACCAAAATACCCATCCCCTCTGATTAATGGCAGAGCTGGGGAGGGTGCCAGGCGAAAGAGGGAAGGCATTAGAGGAGAGTAGGAGAGAGAATAGTAAGGGAGAGGAGAGGCGGCTGCAGCTGTGGTTTTGGAGCCGGTCTCTGCACCCCCTTGCTGCCCCCTCTCTCCATCTCCTCTCTGGCTCCTCCAGGGACACACGCCTTGGCCAGGCCCCAGGAACCAGGGAGTCAGGACCAGGCTACGGGGGGAGTGAGGGGGGAACAAGAGAGGGAGGGAAGGAAGGATATCACAAAAGAAAAGAGGAAAAACAGAGCTGACCTAATACGAAGGAACTGTCACGCAGCACCTACATAAACAGGAGAGTGCATGGGATGTTCCTCCATCGTTTTTACGGGTAAAACAGTACCAAGAAATCCTATTTCCAGGAACACTTGAGGCTGTTAAAGTTCGTTTCACAACACGATACCGTTGCTGTCATTTGGTTTTGTGTCGCAAACAAAGTGGCAACTGCATTTCTTTGAATCGTAGCATTTGACTGTTTCTGTGTAGTATTTCTGTGTTTCATATGTGTTAATGTTTCAGTCACCTAAATAAAATTGTGTCGTACTTTTGACGTGCAAAGCTCGGCATGGAAATCATTCTAAACACGCGTTACCTCTATGAGTACGTGCCAAGGTGCCACGCACACTAGAAGAAAGTCAGAGTTGAGACCTGCAGAGTAGACATGTAGTGCCCCCCTGCAGACTAGTGGAGAAAAAACTGGCAGTTTCAACAGTCACAACTGCCACCTGCAAGCAGGGAGTGTTTCAACTGCTTTGTTTGTGCAGGGAATTAATCAAGTACTGTTTTAAGTACAACTTTTAAACAAACAAGGACATTTTTATTGTATGCATGATGCCAGATTGTGAATGGTGGCCAGCGCCATTGGTAACTCGAGTGAAAAAAAACATGATTAGAAGCAGAAGTTTGGGTAGTCAAATTCCTTTTGTGTGAACAACACTCTCAACTCTGTCAACAATCAAACACCCACTGAGCAGTTGACTGCAGATTGCTGCAGTGAATTGTTCTTCTACGAGCATCACAACATTTTCCTAGTAATTGGCTATTTAATTTGAAAGAAAGGGATTTCCTCAGAGGATGGAAGGAATCTTTGAATGTGACAAAGAGCACTTGTGGTAACTTTATTTCACACTAAAATATAGACGCTAGATTAAATTACATTACATTTAGCTGACGCTTTTATCCGAAGCGACTTACATTGCGTTTTAACCCATGTTTTTTACATTTTTCCCGGGAAGCAATTTGGGGTCAGATGTCGTGCTCTGGGACACTTCGACATGGGACACGGAGCAGCCGGCTTTCTAACAACCACCAATTCATTTTTGCTTCCCTCCTTTTAAAAAAAAATCTTGTCCAAAGCACTGGTTAAAAATTCAGGATTTATTCGCGCAGAAGTGGAAAAAGTCCTTTTGCCATTGAAGATTGTGTGACTTGTCATGGTTCGGGGAGGCGTCTGCAGAGGGGAGGTGTCTGCATCCTCGTTAAATATGAAATAAGCTCATCGGCTTTCCACTCAACTCGTATGCATTGAACCCATGATGGTTCAACATATGCAGGGTGTTTGGGTATTTGGCTGTTTGGGCCTGATGTGCACGCTTGAATCCAAAGTGTGATCTGCTCACCCTCCCTACCCTGCAGTCCCGGGTTAGTGTGTGTCTGAGGCCTATTCTCTCTCTTCTCTCCCCCCTTACTCTCAGTGTTTTATGGGCTGTGTGCTGCGGTGCAGTGACCTCCCCCTCACCCCGGTGCCACCCAGCCGGTGCAGGATTCAGGCGCGCACGGCCCCTGCCAAAACCCCATAGCGCCACATCTGCAATCCATAAACGCCAGCCACTCTCGCTCTCCTATTCCCTCACCCACACAGCCTTCGACTCTCACACGCCTCCATTTCACTCTCTCTCTCTCTCACCCACTAACTTTTTTGTTTAATTTCCAAGTTCTATGCGTCCCCCTTTTTGCATTCCTTTGACTTCCTCTCACCACTTCTGGTATTATTCAGGCAGAACATCAACTGGCTCTTCCCTTATCTCTCTCTCTCTCTCTCCCCCGCTGCCCCCATTTTCTCTCATTCCATTTCTTTATCCGCATCCGCAACGGAAAAAAATCTCTCACCCATTATATCTTCAGTGAGAGCCAACGAAGTGTGGTGGCAATGGACTGGGAACCACCACACATTCCTGATCCAAAAGGCGCTCGGTCACCGGCATCCGTGTCTGTTCCAAACACACTCACTTATGGGCTGGATTCATCCTTACCACGTCGCAGTTGGTCCCCAAACAGCTGAATGTTTATCTGTTTCAAATTGATAGTGTCGGGGGGGGGAAAAATGCAGTAAGAGCATCCAAACTCTGTTCAACGTGTTTTACTTTAAGAGCATTCTCCATCAAGGGGGTATTGAATTCCCCCTCCCCTTGCCATGAACTGCTGGCCAGAAGAACACTTCCCCCCCCCCCTCAGCCTTAACAAGACGTGGTCGACACATCACTCTAACTGTGCCCTTAATACATGTTAAAAAAGGTAGAAAATGAATGGAGTGCTTCCACAAAACTGTCCAGAGCTCTCAGCTTGCCCCACCCCGCCCCCCCATGGGCAATAGAGACATTAGTCTTTCTCGATTGTATTGTCTTTTTTTTCTTCAATTTTTGCTGTGAACTTTTGCTCCCCTCCGTTTCTTGGATCATGTTCTCCTCTCCATCCCGAAGTCTTCACCTTCAGCTTTCTCAGACATATTGGGCTGCCTTCGTGGGGGCAGTCTCAACACGGCCCAGGGATGAATCATGGTTTTCTACACAAAGACGCATGGGGCAGGGAAAGGACACACAGTGTTTCAGCTTCAGTCGAAAGCACAGAGGTCACAGGCTGTGTGTGATTCTAGCAGAGTTTATCATGTGTGTTGAGATATAATTGTTCCAGCAGCTCTCTTACGCTCAAACTGATGCAATTCTGGTAGGGCCATGTTGCTTAAAAAGGAGTTAAGATGTCAAGTATTCTTTCAATGGCGTGACCGGCAATTCATTTTTAATTTTTTTTTATTATGTCCACTGAGGCATGTTTGTGGTTAAAGATTATATAAATAAATGTACGAGCCAGCTGCTATTTGTCATAATATTAAAAAAGGCCATAAGTCATTCATAAGGGTATCATGAAGTGGGGATTTTGCTTTAAAGTGCAACTTGGGAGTTCTTTTTCCACAGTGACAGGGGGAAAAAAAAACACACAAGAATCAATTAAGTATTCCAACGTGTTATTTCCATGTCATAGGAACGGTCAATGAATATCTGTGATTAACTTCTCTCTAATAGACAAAGTATCAAAAATGTGATGTCATTGACCATTTAATTGTCATTTATAAAAAAACATTCGTGTCAAATTTGATGTTTAAAACTCAAATTTAGTGGTTTGTTTTTTCTAATATTTTTGGGCTGACTTCGACAATAACAAGTATCAATTTTTTAAATGGGCGTAGTTTCCATCAGTTGACATTGTCTTTATAAACGATACAATGAGTGTGTTTTAGTGTGACTGCAGGCTTAAGCCACATCTTCATGACTTCAAAAAGAGTTTTAAAGCGCTTGATTCATGACCAACAGTAAAAACTATTATTGGCCCAGTTGCTCTAGTATCTAATTTAATCATAAAGTACTTTTTTCTTAGGGTCTGTTACTCATATTGGACCAGTGTTAAAGATGAGAGCTGCTCAACAAAGTGGAGTAGCTCCACGAGTACTTATTTGTCACTGCCATCTAGTGGCCGTCTCAGCAGCGAGCGACGGCCTTCGAGGCAAAGAGACGGCTCAAACGAAAATCAAGGAGATATTTTGGATAACAACAGTTACGTTTAATACACATTACACTTTTTGAATAGCTCATGTGATCACAATGACGTTCAGTATCTGCGTTAATACATGTCCTTTGTCTTTCTTGTATGGTCATCCAAACCCTCCGCTACTCCATGTCCAAGTCGTCCATCTCCACAGTAACCTCTCGCTTGACCCAGGGTAAAGACATGGGCACATAGGGGTCATATGTCCAGCGAGGATACACTCTTTTGAACAAATTCATGAGGACAGTGTCCTGTGAGGGCAGCTGGTTGTCAAATACGCACTTCATGTGACCATGTGTTCCTATGGGAGGATAGAACAGGGCAGTCAGAAACAAACGGATAACACAACTTGCTGAAAGACGGTGCATTTTGTTAAATTTCCTCACCCAATGACTCCTTAATGTGGCCTCTTCGACCCCACTTTGTGCGCAGCTCCACTGGCTTGAACCACAAGATATCATCTGTCACAGAAAGAAACAAAAAGGAGGGTAAACCATGACGCTCAAAGCCACACAGAAGTCAAACGTTTTGCAACATTCTGGTGAAATAGTTTAAAAAGAATGTTTGTGAACATTCTCTCACCCCGGTTGAAGAACATGTAACGGACAACCGCAGAGCGCTGATTGATTTTGAGCGGGTGTCCGCTCAGCACTATTCTCTTCAGCGTGACACGACGAGGGTCACAGCTGAGCAGGCTGCCAGTGGCCACCAAGTCCTGGATGCCTTGAGGGAAGCAATGAAAACACAATACCAGTACAGAATTAGCTCAAGTAGATCTAATAAACATAAGAACATAACAGCAAAAGTTAAAAAAAAGACAGCTAAAACTAAACACAGAGCAGTTCACCGTACCATCATTCTTTTGTTTAAAGAGCAGGACTCCTGTAGGGGGGAAGGTGATTGGAGCGTACACAGACACCACGGTGGGGGCATCTGGCTTTAGGAAGCGCTCCATCTTGTGCTTGTCAGCTAGAGAAGAGCGCAGCGATTTATCAATTAATTACTGAAGATCCAGCAAATGAGTATGTTTCAGACCACCAGCTTCTCCAATTATTTTGCTAAAAATTATATATTTTAGCAGATAAAAAATAATTTACTTTACAGACCAGAAAGGGAATTGAGCAAATGTCTTCATTGTGACTGTATACTACACATAATCATCCTTAGCTTCTTGAGAGTTAAGTGTTCTAGCAAGCGAAAATAATCAATATTCAACAGCACAATTTATCGGTGTTTTTGCAAAATTGGTTTAACGTAATTTTGTTAGTACCGAGATGAGAACTTGTCTTACAGTAATTCCTTTTATTCACTTTGCATAGATGGATTATTTCACAACTCTTGGTTCGACTAATGCAATATTAACCTGTATTGTTTAATTGAATACAAATATGCCTAAAGGCATGTTAGCAAAACTAACAGGTTTTCTACCAGAAGCGTTCTGAGAGAAGATAGGAGATGCCCTGAACCGCCGAAATCCACAGTGGAACACCAGCTCCTCTTTAGATTTGATCGGCTCTGTATTGCTGGGGTGTCTCCTCACCAAGAGGTGCATCACTGACATCTGTGCACAGAAGGGAGGGGGGGGGGGGGGTATGAAGAGGTCAGGAATTCAAATCTCATAACTGTCTATTGAAAACAAGAGTCAAAACTGGGGATCAGACCTTCTGTTCATGCGGCAAGAGAGACACCAAAACCAGAGGTCTGCCTGAGTGGACGCTCTCCATCACAGAAAAAGGCACGTCGATGATGTGCAGCGTAACATACCAGCCGACCTGAAACAGAAGTGGCAGCAGAGTCAGTGAAGTCACACGCCAGTATGACGTCTGCTGAAGAGCGATTACAAATTAACACATTCATGGGGCTTTTTTTTTTTTACCATGGCCCCCTCGTCCTCTGCTTCAGCCTCGGCCAGTATCCGGCGGCGAGTGCGTTCAAAGCTCTGGAACTGGAAGATGCGCGAGTAGTTGGCGGGCAAGTTCTCCATGGGATCCCAGGGCGAGGAGCGGAAACTCTTTAGGCCTCTGTAGCGCTGGAACCTAGACAGAGGAAGGAATAAAGTGTGGCAATGATCAAACTGCATTGAAAAGATTCTGGACGTTTTCCTTTTAACCTAAACTGACATGCATCCATCCATTTTCAGCTGACTCCAATCGACACAAAAGGAGTATCGCCTCAACTCCAACTTCCCTCCAGATGTCCGAGCTCTTTGCCCTCTGAGGCCGAGCACAGCCAACACGCGGAGGAAACTCTTTTCAGCCGCACACTTTTCATCAAAACGATTGATCAGAACTGACCTAATTTTAGCCGGCATGTCGAGGGGAGTGTCCACCTCGTCTGGAAACATCACATTGGCTCGGGCCTCGCGGTAGCGCTGCAGGCCTTCTTCTTCTGCAGCCTTATCAATGTCCTCATCGTAGCGTTGATCTGCTCCAGTGCGCTCTGTGGAGCACACCTCCTCCCCTTCTTCTTCCTCCTCCTCCTCTTCTTCTGAATCAATGTCTGAGTCTGGTTCCTGGGCAAAGAACAAAGATACAAATTGCTTAAATTCGTAAATAGCTTCTTTGTCCCCTCCATTTAGACGTTGACCGATAGATAGTTGCTTGGTTAAAACTATGAGCCCTCACCTTGAATACTTAATCAGTCTATCTTTTTGAAAATACCATTTCTTGTCTATTCCGTATCAGTAATATTGTTTTATTTTGGTTACACTCCTCTGTTAACGACATATTGACATTCTTACGTAACTGGAAGCAACTTTTTGCCTTCCCAGTTTCTAAACTGCAGTAAATATTTTCCAAACAATGACCAGATGCACATGTTGGGAACAAGTGCAGTCAAAGAGATTCTAAGTATAGACATTGTATCTTAGCCAAATATAAACAAGGCTCACCCAGCTACAATAAGAGCAGTGATTTGAGGCGGTATGTGTGAATGTGATAAGGTGTTGCCAGAATTCAAACTACGGGAACGGCCTGGTTTGCATATATTTAAATGTTGTGCCTTCCCAGTGTGTCTACAAAACAACAGTCTCAAGTGTTTCCAGACATCGAGTCTTTAAATGTCTCGAAAAATCGACTTCCGTTGGCAATATATTTATATAAGAAAATGAGTCATCAAAGAGGATATGCTTTTAAGTGCTCCCTCAACCGGCAAATTAAAAGGCAAAGCCAGACACATCAGGGGAAAGCACTCAGCACGGGGCTGATTCACAACCTTTCCAACTGCAATAATAATAATCATTATTTGAAGTACCCTTTCCCCTATTGTTACGCTCTCCTAAATACTTTGGACTGTGACATCAGACAGATGCTAATAATAAATCACAAATCTTGACAAAACCTATGCATAAGGAACGTTTCCCCGACCCCTTTTCTAGCAGAGCTGGAAATGAATTAGAGGCCGACCCCTCCCTTCGTCCAGACAGGAAGTTCTGTTCACAGGACAGGAAGACAGGAGGCTTCTCTCGGGATTCCAAACACTATTGTTGTGGCTGGCACTACAGGCCAGAGACAGACACTGAGAAAACAAACAGTGCCTCTCAGTTGGGAGGTGCACTGATCGTGGTCACGTATGCACCACTTCAGCCACGGAACCGGGGACACTCAAGACTTCATAGCTCCTCCACAAAGAATGCGGTCTTACTGTCTACACTGTGTCTGATGCTGTTGCTATAACAACAAGCCGCTGGAGAAAATAAAACTCTTGTGCTAAAAAAAGAAAAGACGTACATTCTAAAAAGGACAAAATGACATTTGGACTGACATGGACTGGAACATTGGTGGCTGGCAAGGCCATACAAATCCAGACGGAAATGATAGTTTTGCTTTTGGAAAAATACAATTGACTGATTCATTTGAAGGTAGTTGCCCACCCAAACTGAAGACTTTCTCACCTCAATTTGTTCCAATCTATTTAAGCACTGCCAAAAAAAACTCCCATCCCAACTCGAGTCTGACCTTCGGAGACTTTACTTGCGTCTCTCTCTCCTTTGTTGCCAGTCAACTCTCCACCGTGTGTGATAAAGGCCTAAAATGCTCAGAAATCAAAAAGCAAATAAGTACCTGAGAGTTATTGTCCTCATCCTCTCCGTCCATCGCCTCGTCCAACATGTCATCATCATCGTCATCCTCTTCACTGCTTTCTTCGTCCAGGTCTCCGTTATTCTCCTCCTCTTCATCAAGAATCCATGCGGCCTGGTAATCTGATGTTCCTTTAGGGACCTTCATCACACGTTTGTTCTTAATGGCCTCTAAAGAGCAGAGAGAAACATCAAAAAGACATTCAGAGACTTTTGTGTAACCGCAAGAAACTCATTTTAATAAAACAAATATTTTCTTGTTGTCAGCAATTATCAGCAAAAAAAACATCCAACGTAAAGTTGCACTTTAACTGCAGCTAACTGACATGACAGACAAGAGTTTTAATCTCTAACTCAAGTCTAATTTGATCTATCAAACAGACTCCAATATGTTGGATCAATTAGAGAAAAAAAACTGTGATAAAATGTGGTACACCAAAATCAGGTGTACAAAATGAAGGCTCCTAGGGTGATGTCGCTCAGTTTCCATTTGATGTTGATTCCAGTGCAACACGTTAGTGCCAACTGCAGTAAATTCTGTCTACCCTGTACACTATCCAACCCTCAGCTTACCAATTGTATGGTCATTAAATACTATCACGTGTACATTTCGGCTTGGGTACCGTCAGCTTCCAAAAGCTCTGTCTCGGTTGGCCACGTCTGCTCTCCATCCATGGGGTCCACCTCCGCTTCGGCCTGCAGACTCTCCCTGCAGGACAGGTCTGCTTTCACCAGGACCCTGACTGGAGCCTCGCCTTCACCTCCGTCCTGTGGAACACAGATGAAGGAGGTAAAATGGGAAATATCTAAAATAAATTTAAACAATCTGTAAAAGTCAACTTTGTCCATTCAAGGACTATACCAGTGTTTTTGCCGTTTTTATACCTTTTATTTTACATTACTTTTAATTTAAGGGAAGCAGAGTGTTTTGCATTCTTTAAATGTTCCAGCCTGCCACTGTTTTCATTCATTAAATAACATAAAAAACAGACATTGGGATATCTTCAAGCAAGCAATATCATGAATGATTTAAATGTTAAATGACATCAGTGCTGCATAGTAAGTATGTGTGCAACAGAAATATGACTTCTTATTCACGGGGATGTTTCAATTATCTTCCCCTACCAGCATGTCGACATCTCCTTCTTTAACAGGCTTTGCTGGTCTGGCTGGTGTTAAGATGAGGGGAAGAGGATCGGGTGGACCATCAATCTGACTGAGCTGAAAGTCTCCATGTCCACTGATGTGCACCAGCCTGTTAACTTGTAGAGGGCGGCCACGGATGTAGCCAGAGACGCAGAGGGTGCCGAGGTCAGTGGGTCCATCACCTGTCCCCTCAGCGGGGCAGTTGGGTGTAAAAGTGACATTCTGGGCCAAAAGATGGGAACGCCTGGAGCGGAAACCAAGCTTTCGCTGTCTCTGGCTGCCTAGGTGTCGGAGAAGCAGAGTGGCGTCCTGCTCCGAATCCAAAGGGAAGAGACGGGCATCAGGGAAGCGGATCTCTGTGATCTTTGAAAGAGCTCTCCTGGAGTCAACCCTCTTCTTAACGGGGAGATCGGACACACCCTGACACACCAGTGCTACAAGGGGTGAAATAAACAAAACTGCTTAGAAAATGCAATTCATAACAATCTGAAATGATTTTAAAACAACCATCTTCTCCAATGGGAAAAGGAGAATGGAAGCTCCAGCAGTGTACCCACCATGACTGGGGAGTCCCTGGGCAAAGAGGCAGGAGAGACAGTATTCTCCATAGCTGTCCCAACCTTCAGCAGAGTCCAGCACAAATACAAGGCTATCCGCAATCTTTGCCACATCCAGCAGGGAGTGTATGTCCGCTGTCCAAAGAAACCATTAGAGAGGCTTAGGAATAGGACAAGACATGCCCACAGCAAAGACCAAATAGTAAAAGGCCTAAAACATGAGAACAAGCATTTATAAATACTTTTGAAATTGTGCGAGTACTTTGATTTTGTTGAATTGTATCCTTTGGAATACTAATAAACCTGGTAAAAAACAGTAATCCTTTAAAAATTAACTTCAGTTTACTCTTTTTGGAGCAACACTTACCCGTGCTGTGGCTTATGAAGGTGAACCGTTGCTTAAAACGAGGCAGCAGCAGCCCGAAACTGTCACTGATGCCACTGACACACCGCTCCTGATGTACGACACCCCCAGCAGCGTCCCCTCGTAGCAGTTTGGTAACAGCAGCGGCATCCACTCCGGCATGGAGCGACAACACAGCGACCAAATGCGGGGGTCCGTCCCTGGTGCCGAGACGTCGCTTCTCTGTCAGAACCTAAAAAGACAACAAGCATGAAAAATCTTCAGTAAGAAAAAGGAATTAAAGACTATTCGAAAGACTTTTTGTTATGTGAAGAAAATAATTACGATGTCTTTCTTGTTCCTGCGAAGCTGGTTGGCTTTGTGCCTTCTGTCCATCCGCTTGTGCTCCTTTCGCTGCTTCTTGGTAAAGGCCGTCACAGACACTCTCCCTGAGAGACAAGTCAAAAAAAGGATTTATTTGTTGGAAAAACAAAGTCAGAAGAAGTCAAAGGAAGATCCAGAAGAAGAAGTCTTAAATATAAATGAAGGTGCACCTTCAAATGCTGCTATGGATATTGAGCAAACCTCATAGCATTTGCAACATATGAAAAACAAAGTGCAAACAAACTAAAAACGTTCTGCTTTGAAAATACTTTCTGCTACAACATATTGCGATCTGGCTCCTATCGTCGCGCATCAAGCGTCACCCTGCTGGAACACGTTACTGCATGCAAGTAAACACAGTTGGTGTTTAGCAGACATTCAGTTAGTTTCCCTGCAAACTGATGCTGAATTTAAAGGTTTTGCCATTTAGTAATTCACTATTTTAAGTGCGGTTGGTTTTAAACATGTCCTTCTAGTATAACAAAAGTATAAGCAGTCAGTAAATCAGCAGCCAATATCAGAACCGTATGTGTTAAAGATATTTGTATGGCTGCATGTCAACTATTGATGCCATGATTGATTTCTACAATATGCACAATATTGTTACACCTCCAAACATCGGTTTGGTGTATTAAAATACTGCGCTACAAAGACTATTGTCTTTATGCGGGTTGTTTGTGTTATTGTACAAAAGTATTGATTCAATGAATTGTAAAAAAAACAATAGTCTATAATAACATTGATGGGTAATTTTATGATAGTTTGTATTATCATTAGAAGTACTGACACAAAAACAACTTAAATTAGAGGGTATATTTCAAAAGGTGTGACTCCAATATAAACCTTTCTTTTGAGCTACAACTGATGAAAACTATTGTCAGACGTTTTAAGTGGTGATGCAATAGGCGGCATTGTAGGAATAGTCGTGCGTAACAATGTTGCCATCTGAAAGAATTTGAATTGTGAGTAAATAAAAAATGCACGAGTTGTGAGGCATAAAAAAAAACTCTCAGATTATCTGTGGGACAGTCGGTGTCGTGTGATATCGAGGGTCCTGGTTGGTCCCGTGAGCTTTACAAAATGGTCACGGGTGAATTCATGTAAAGTTACACCAGCAGCTCGTTGCCGACCTAACGTTAATGCGTTCAGGCGACAATACACAAAGACACGTAACTTTATAGAGCTTTATAGACCGTTTTTCTACTGAACTGATGGCATCCGAAATCCACTGGAAAACACGTGTCTGCGCAGCCGTGGCTACGCTGACCGTAGAAGTTACGCTTTAAAACAGAACATGGCTTACCTTTGTTTTCTCTCTCGAGTTCACCTTTCGTTCGGTGCTTGCCATGTTTGTGACCTTTATTTTTCTGTTTATATATGCCGGGTCTGTGCCCCTGTTGTTTTTCCTCATTCGCAGCCATTTTCACCATGTGGGAACGCCACGCATTTCACTTCCGGACTAGCACGAGCGTAACGACAGAGGCGTGTCGTCAGACCCGCCGGAGAGGTTTTCTTTTCAAAACAAAAGCCCATGTCATGATGACGTAATCAATAGAGTTGTGTGATGCGTTTCCTGCATACATTACATCAATGAATACTCTGTATTTACAGCATCAAATCCAAACGAAATCAAACGAGACCGAAACATAGTCTATGTATAAGCTACATTAAATGTATTACAGAAAGTATAGACCTGTTGAAGCTTACATTCAAAGAGAAGTTACTGTTACGGTGAGAGGAAAGGTTTTCAAACCAAAAGGTTTTCTTCTGAATATGATCAAAACACATATAAATAAACGAGATGAAGAGATGGAGGCATTAGAAAACAATTAAGGAGCCTCTGATACAATTACCTAGACTTGCTGACCTTTTTTTTATTTTAGAGTATTTGTCATGGCAGTATTCTAAAGTTTATGGCCCCCTTTGGTTGCCTTCATGCCCAATAACACTTCTTAACCCCATTTTTGTTGTCGGGAAGCCTGCTATATGAAGCATCAACTGAACCTTTCGTACCTCAATACTTTCACAGGTTTTGTGAAAAAAATAATTTGAATTTGCTCATCAAACAACATAGAGTTAGTTACTATAGATGTCACTTTTCAAAAGAAAACAGTTTCTGCCTGAATCTGCTACATACACTTAACTTCTTTCAACTGTCACACAACAACTTGATCAGTATTGTTTACCTTTCAATTAGCATCCTCTTAAAGAGAACATGTTTTAAATGAATGCAGCATTTCCATTCACAATAAAACACATCCTAAAAACCGCCTAAGAGTAGAACTTTGCCATTTGGCTTTGGAACAGGCAGGTTATTGTACAGGCCGAGTTGCCATGCAGATACTCGTGGTTAAAGGGGAATGGGAGGGGTTGAACTTGAAAGAAGAGGCTAGAGGGGTTTCTTCTGTACAGTTAGTTACATCATGCAGAAACCAACAAATGCTGAGAAACATTTCACAATAGCCGACTGTCATGAACTGCCCGCAGACAAAAATAGCATACTTTTATTCTGCTGATCGCTAAGTCGCACCTATCTAAAGATTTTTGTTGCCCTGGATTTTTTGTCCTTTGCTGGATTTTCTTGAGCAATATGTCTATAAACAAATTGTGCCACAATTAAGGCTCAAACTTGTACACAAGACATAATATAGCCAAAAAAGAAACAAAATATATAAAGGAAACCTTTATGAAATAGTAGCCCACTGACCACGTTCATGCATCTAGAAACCAGAAGACAAACACAACGTTTTACACTTTACACCACGATCTTCACTCACCTTCAACAGACACACTTCAGCTCTCACAATATCAACACACGTTGATACGGCATAACTCAATCAATGTTAAATCAATGATTTTTAACGTGGTTATTCATGGCGTGGTCATATGAGTTAGAAACAGATCGGAGTAAATATAAAAGTAGTTGTGTTGTTTTGCCTGATGTCTCCGCCTCTGGAGGGTTTTGAGTCAGAGAGAGTTGACTGCAGCTACATCGCGCAGGGCGGAACTGCAGCTCGGGCACAGTCTGATTCAACACTCGAGTGAGTAGTTAACATGCCGGCGCGCTAGCTTAATCCACTAGGTTTTTTTATTTTCTTTTTCTCCCTCCAACGACCTCGCGGATGCGAACGCGGATTGTTTCGTGCTTGTTTTTTTGTGGAGGCGTTTGAACTTCCCTCACATTCTCTCCTACGTATTTCCACGAAGGGAGGTGGCGGCGGCGGCCATCTTTGGAGCTGCCTGGGAGTGGGGATTCGTCTCCTTTGGCACCCCAGTTACTTCGAGGGTGGGGATTTTTTTTTAAACCTACAGTAATACACAAACCCGCCGTTTATAATCGACTGACAGCGTCAAGAACCGCGAGGATTTGACCTACGGCAGCATCGGGCCGGGGATGAACGGCGAAACAACACTTTCATAGTCCCGAACTGTTTTGAATAACACGACATTCTCTACAGTGCCGAAGCCCGGCCTGTCAGGAGAAGGGTGAGTTCCAGCTAACGTTAACAGGCTAAGCTAAGTTAGCAAACACCACGTAGGAACGCTTGCTAAATTTGGCCGTTTCTGGTAAATGACTCTTGACGTCGGCGTGATTCTATGTCATTCGAGCAGTTAACGTTACTTGCGTTTGTAAAAGGCGTCGCGAATGTAGCCCGGTGCTTTGGTCATATGACACGTAGCTTAGCTCAGCTAACGTTAAGTTTGATGTGTGTGTGTGTGCGGGGCTAACGTCACGCTCAACGCTGGCTGCTTTCGGGGGCTCCTGAAACCTCTGGATTTGAATATCCGCCCGCTTGAGCTTTGAGTCGTTGCGTCTTTACACTTGTGACAAGGGAAGCGGCGGTGGGATGAAAGTCACGACGCGCCACCAGGTGCTCTCGCTAATTCCGCTGGTGTTGAAACTGCGGCGAGGTGTCACCCGACAGCGTTACCTGTGATGCGATAGTTTACCTGAAAACTTCCGTCATCTAATTATGGTTAGTTAAATTCCACCGAGCGATACCGTTAAGTTACTGTACAGGTGTCTGCTTTCTCCCCACAGACAAACTCTGATGAACACCCCACTCACTGTGACGTAAGCCTGTACAGAAGACCTACTTAAAACACGTCTTCCTTTTTTCTTTTGTTCCATGACATATGTGGTTAAGATAAACGCTGACACCGTGTGATTATGTGTTTCATGTTTGTTTGTGTGCTGTGGTTTGCAGTGGCAAAAGGAAGTGGCTTAACTGACTGACAACACTGATCAGTTCAACCTCCGTTTTGTAAAGATAAATGACCTGTGTGGCAAGTTTCATTGTGTTTAAAAAATCGCCACCCGCGTCTGGGGGGGGCAACGCCGCTGCTGCTGAGACCGATAACCACCAGCCAAAGTGTTCGCCGGGGCCTCTTCCTACCTCCCTATAGCTGTGCGAACAGGAAATGCGGCGCAGTGAGGGCATACATTGGGAATTCCAGTCCTCTAGCTTTGTTGTCCTGTCCTGCTGCATTCTTGTGTGTATGTGTGTGCGCGCTGTGCTTGTCCGGGTGATTTTTTTTTTTTTTATGTATCATGTGTCATCGTCCCTTACTTTTGTGCTCACATGTCCGTGGTTGGAAAAATGCCATCGCGCGACACGTCAACAACACAACGACAACAAAGCTCATTCATGAGCATCACTGTAGTAAAGAAGAACAATGGCAATAAACAGCCACAGTCCTGCATAGTAATGAGGCTTTATTTCAGGGCCGTGGCTGCGCCCGTGTGGAATAGTGCGTTGTTCAGTGTTGTTGTGAGACAAAAGATGTCTACTTGAACTGAGGGCTGTTTCTCCCAGGCTCGGAAAGAAGTCCTGTGACTCTGGCGTCAGCATCATCTGAGCTGCATGGACACAGTTAACTTTCCTCAGTTTTTCTTTTACAGTACGTCTGTATTACAGCAGTGAAGCCGGAGAACAAACAATTTGCTGGACAGTTTAATCCGGATAGTGGTGGTGTAGACCTAATGCTCGATGTTTATTAATTAAAGGCAAACAAACATCGGGTAAATCAACCCGCCACTTTTAATATTTTGAGTGTTTTACACATTCAGAAAAAAAGATTGGCTTACCCAGGAACTTTTTTGGAAAGGCACACCATTTTCTTATCTGTCAGTTATCTGTCATCCAACTCTGCCATCACTACAATCAATCAATATGATTTGTATGGGTGTGTTGCAACTGTGGATACCTAAAATTTAGGGGAAATATAACCAGAAACCTGCCTAGAAACCACTACAGCTCATTTAGAATAGGTGTTTTATTTGAGGTAATCTGCTGCTTCAATCTCTTGCACAGAGGTTATGTGGAAAATGTTTGGTATGTTTGAGAACGTGTGTTTACCGAGTAGCTACAGGTCTAACAAGTATTCCCATCACTGGAATGCTTTGTTTCAGTTCAGGCATCCAGCGAGCAGTGAGTGAAGCAGCGTGCCGTTAACTCGGTTTCTCTATTGGCGCGGGAAATTATTGGCTGCGAGACGGTTCTTTTGTATCCTCCTCGCATCTGTCCGTCTACATACCAGCCCCTGGAGGTGTGAGAGGAGTTTGTTAGTCAACAGCTGCTCGATTTCCGTTCTGTGGTTGCTGTTTCCATGGAAACGGAAGACCTATCTCATGCTCCCTCTGGATTTCCGACTGGCCGGTCTCCACATTTGCACCTGACATCATGGTCCGTGTTCTGTGTAGCGCCCTCTCGCTCTGGTTAATTGGCTCCGCTCTGGCGCACATGGACAGCCAGGAAGCTGTGTGATGTTACTTACCTGTTGCTTCACACTGTTACAACGAAGGAACATGTCTGTAAAAGAGAAAATGTGTAGAATTTTGTACTTACCTACTGTTGATTTTTAATATTCAAGTTTTGCTGTTGACTTTTTTCCAACCTCCCTCTTCTTCTTTTAGCCCTGAAGACATATGAGACCACTGTCCTGCAGATGAGAAATCGGTGGGGGCTTTCAAGGCGCTGTCGCAGACCCAGATAGTTCCTGGCGACAGCGGCTGTGCCCCCAACTTCCCATCATGCCCAACAGCAGTCGGGCGGGGAGCCTGAAGGACCCCGATGTTGCTGAGCTCTTTTTCAAGGAGGACCCAGAAAAGCTCTACTCAGATCTGCGAGAGATCGGACATGGCAGCTTTGGTGCTGTATATTTTGTGAGTATTTCACAATACACGGTTCTGGTCCAAGCTGAAAGTTCTGCCTGCTTGAGGATTCAGGCTTTGCATTGATAAATGGTTTTGTTTAAATGTTCAGTAACTGTAAATCTTTGTTGGATCAACGATAAAGACTTTAAGATCCTGTTAAAAATGTCAGAAAGTTTCAGAATCATTCTTAAAATGACGCAATGCTGTCTTGGCGACACCGTCTTAGCGTGTAAACCTTGATCTCCAGCAAATAATTTAGCAGGCTTTACAGTAAGTTCACATTTTCCGAGCTCAATATCCTGGAGCCCACAGAGCCTCTATCCCTGAATCATTGGTTATGTAATGAAGTGCCAACATCAGACATGCTAAATGTAATGTGCTTCTTATTCAGGCACGGGATGTGCGGACGAATGAGGTGGTGGCCATCAAGAAGATGTCTTACAGTGGAAAGCAGTCCACAGAGGTATAAAAGATTTTCACTAATCACTCATCAATCAATCATCATCTCAACAGGCAGCCGTTAATCGCATCGACTCGGGAGTAGTTTTTCTTGTTTGTTGTCATAATCCTCTCATTTTTCCCACAGAAATGGCAAGACATAATCAAGGAGGTGAAATTCCTGCAGAGAATACAGCACCCAAACAGCATCGAGTACAAAGGATGTTACCTGCGAGAGCATACAGCCTGGGTAAGACCCAACACATGAATCAATGGCAATGACCAAAATGGTATGAACCACTGACTTTTAAAGTCACGCATTAACTTAAAATACTCTGTATTTCATTGCAGTTGGTAATGGAGTATTGTTTAGGCTCTGCTTCAGATTTGTTGGAAGGTGAGTTGAGGACCTTTTTGTACTCCTGGTGATCTCACTACGCCGCATGACTGCAAACGCAGACTCTAGTTTCTCTTTTTGTGCATTTACATTGCTGACGGTGAATTTATCCCTTTCCAGTTCACAAGAAACCCCTGCAAGAAGTTGAAATAGCTGCAATTACCCATGGCGCTCTTCAAGGGTTGGCTTATCTTCACTCCCACAACATGATTCACCGGTGAGTGTTTGAAGTGTTTGGGCGAATACTGGACAACGTGTCTTCTCTCAGGTGCTATTTCTTCCGCGTGGAGCCGTAATCATTTCCTCTTGTGTGTTCAACAGAGATATCAAGGCAGGTAATGTCTTATTGACGGAGCCAGGGCAAGTAAAACTGGCAGATTTTGGTTCTGCTTCCATTGCCTGTCCTGCCAACTCCTTTGTTGGGACTCCATATTGGTACGCTACAAAACTATTAATTAATTAATTAAAAACTTGAGAAATTATCCAGTAAAATGGTTATTTACACATGTGCTTGATTTATTTTTTCAGGATGGCCCCAGAAGTCATTTTAGCTATGGATGAAGGCCAGTATGATGGAAAGATCGACATTTGGTCCTTGGGAATAACCTGCATTGAATTAGGTGAGGCCATTGTTATGAATGTAATTTACTCATGAGATATGGGTTACATTTGTTTGCATCCACCTCAATCATTTTTGCAAGTGTCTCATCACCAGCATTCATTTTGCTCTCTTATGTCAGTCAATAACTGAATAATGTTGCTCTTTTATTCCCCTCATTATTTCTTGTTCCTTTGCAACATCTGAATTATGTTTTTGTAACCTGCTACTTGGCCTGCAGCTGAGAGGAAGCCTCCACTGTTCAACATGAATGCGATGAGTGCCTTATACCACATAGCACAGAATGAGAGCCCCATGCTGCAGTCCAGTGAATGGTGAGTTTAGAAAGAAATGAATGTAAGCCGCTCTGTTGCTTCCTAAAATAAACCGATGCCATGAAATAACTACAATTCTATAATTTCTCTTCATTTTGTCTCTCCATTTTAGGACAGACTATTTTCGAAATTTTGTAGATTCCTGCCTTCAGAAATTTCCCCAGGACCGGCCGAACTCTGAGGAGCTGTTGAAGGTAATGATCTCCAAATGGCCACGGTGGCTTATGTTCCATGTTTAATCCCTGTCGCCCTAAGAAGTTCTCTGTGTTTTTCTCCGTGCAGCACGCGTTTGTTCAGCGTGAGCGGCCAGAATCCGTTCTCATTGATCTGATCAGTCGGACCAAGGACGCGGTGCGAGAGCTCGACAATCTGCAGTATCGTAAGATGAAGAAGATCTTGTTTCAGGAAGCGCACAATGGCCCCACAACGGAGGCACAAGACGAGGACGAGGTCGGTCACAGGACTCTTTATCAGCCATTTCTTTCTGTCTGTTCCGTTTCGCAGTGTGATGTCATAAGCGCACGTTGTTTTATTTTGAAGGATCCGGAGCATGGCGTGGGTAGGACGGGTACAGTCAACAGCGTGGGGAGCAACCAGTCCATACCCAGCATGTCAATCAGTGCCAGTTCCCAGAGCAGCTCTGTCAACAGTCTCACCGATGCGGGCGATGACAAGAGTGAGGTGGACATCGAGGGAGATCACACGGTCATGTCCAACAGCTCTGTGATACACCTCAAACCGGTGAGAAGTTGTGTCGTAGTGTGTTCACGGTTTAAAATTGATGAGCAGGATGCATCATTATCAAATAATTTGTTCATTTGAAAAACAACATGTACACAGCAGTATTTTGTTTTGCCGTTTACATCCTTTCCTTCATGTTTTTGCTGGCTTTTCAGGAGGAGACTTACAACGAGGAGTCAGAGCCTAACACCCGGCCTACCGATCCACAAACCCCGCCCGCACAAACTCCGCGGCCAAAACGCAACCGCGAACACTTTGCCACGATACGGACAGCCTCAGTGGTAATTGAATTTTCAGAACAAATTACCTTCGTAACTGCTAGATGTCCACATCAATGTGTTCTTCAAGGGGATTGTTTGACTTGTTGCCCCCCTGGTCATGAATTTGTCCCCTAAAAGGCAAAAATGTTAACAAAAAATTTTGTTAATCAAAAGCAGTGTCCTGCTCCAGCTTTGAAACCTATTGCACACAGTTGTCGTGTTACGTGTATTTTCTTAAACGGCTTACTTTTGCATGATTCTTGCATTTGCGCCTGCAACAATATGAAGAGATGCCGTTGCCTTTTATCTTTTCCAGCTCACTCGGCAGATGAAGGAGCACGAGCAGGATTCCGAGTTAAGGGAGCAGATATTGGGCTACAAGCGCATGAGGCGGCAGCACCAGAAGCAGCTGATGGCTCTGGAGAACAAGTTGAAAGCTGAGATGGATGAGCACAGGCTCCGCCTGGACAAGGAGCTGGAGAACCAGAGGAACAGCTTTGCCCAGGAGATGGAGAAACTGATCAAGAAGCACCAGGTGTCCATGGAGAAAGATGTAGGCTCAAAGCTCATCTGTGTTCCCTTAAGATTTCAAGAAAATAATGTTGTTGTTGTTGTTTTTTTGTTTTTTTTGCATAAGCCGACTGATTGGGTTGTGTTTTTCCCATTAGGCAAAAACATTTAACAATGATGAGAAGAAGTTCCAACAGCATATTCAGAGTCAGCAGAAGAAAGAGCTAAACAGCTTTCTCGAATCCCAGAAACGGGAGTACAAGCTTCGCAAGGAACAACTTAAAGAGGTAGGGGAGTTATCGTCTTGCCCCTTACAATAGTCTCATCAAACTATCAAGCCTGATTTATGCTTCTGCGTTTTCAGAGCGACACACCTTGCGTGTCCCTTGCGTCGCCATTTTTCTAGGCTTGCGTCGGAAGCAACGCAAGCTTCCCGCAACGCACCAGCCTGCGATTGGTCCGCTAACTACATCCTTTACGGAGTCTCACGTTGCCGCTTTCATAGCCCGATACCGCCATTATTAAAACAAAGAATGTATACGAGAGCAGATTTAAGAACTTTAGTCGGAAGAAATGCGCAAATATGAGCGCTTATACAAGCCGTCATTGGCGGGTTGGATTCACGGAGGGAGATCGCCGCAAATGCCGGTTTGCCGGTCGAGAGGTGCACAAAGTTGTGGAGGAAAATACGGGACAAATGTGTCCGCGATGAAAAGCAGTGGCGATGCACGGGGCAATAAAGTCTATGATAAAAAAACAAATAAATAAATAGACGTGACTCTCTAGGTCGTCTTCAACAAAACACGTCACTCCGCCTGTTGTTCTGGAGATGAATTGCTCTGCAACACACGCAGAACCATGAATTGAAACGACTGCGTTGACGCAACGACGCGAACGCAGAAGCATGCGCCGGCCTTTAGTTTACATGCTATCGTCAAATAGACGTCAATCGGCCGTAGGAAGTCTCTTCTACCTCTGACCGCATTCTTTCTTCGGTTTAGGAGTTGAATGAAAACCAGTCAACGCCCAAGAAAGAAAAGCAGGAGTGGTTGTCCAAGCAGAAGGAGAACTTCCAACACTTCCAAGCGGAGGAAGAGGCCAACTTGGCGCGCAGACAGAGGCAGTATCTGGACCTGGAGTGCCGCCGGTTCAAGCGCAGGATCTTGATCGCTCGCCACAGTATCGAACGGGACTTGGTGCGCGAGGTCAGCATTCAGTCTCCTGCATTTTACTTCTGGGTCTGAAATGCGAACATAAGCAACAGACTGATATTGAGTCATGGTCCGTTGGGTCATCACCTTGCCATTTGTCTCTCCATGTGCACACAATTAGGAGCTGAACAAGCGTCAGACCCAGAAGGACTTGGAACACGCCACGCTGCTCCGGCACCACGAGTCCATGCAAGAGCTGGAGTTCCGCCAGCTTAACAACATCCAAAAGACGAGGGCCGAGCTCATCCGCCTGCAGCACCAGACGGAACTCACCAATCAGCAGGAGTACAACAAGAGGAGGGAGCGGGAACTCCGGCGGAAACACGTCATGGAGGTTCGCCAGCAGCCCAAGAGCCTCAAGGTGAGCATGCACGGCACGCCGACATTCAGGGGGGATGCTTTTGAAGCGCTGCTTTGGGTACTTGTGGATCTGTTTAACCACGAATTCACGATTTGTCGGGCTAACCCAGTTTTAATCTTGAATAAACCAAGATGGGGTGGAACCGGGATCCTTCCTCTTTGGTTTGGGAGACTGTTTTGAATGAAATTGTGAATTTGCCTCCTCCCCAAATATTTTTGATTTTACAACTTTAATGTAGGTGATAATGGTCTGTTCCCCGACCTCACCCCAGATAAGCGGTTGAAGATGAGATGGGGAGATAAGATGAGATGCTCTGTGTTGTCTTAATGTCTGCTTTTAAATAAGGTACATAATCCACATGTTGTTGTTTTTTCTCCCCTTCTTATTATAGTCCAAAGAGCTCCAGATTAAAAAGCAGTTCCAGGACACATGTAAGATCCAGACCAGGCAGTACAAAGCGCTAAGGAACCACCTGTTGGAGACCACACCAAAGTCAGAACACAAGGCTGTCCTTAAACGCCTGAAGCACGAGCAGCACCGCAAACTTGCCATCTTGGCCGAGCAGTATGACCACTCCATCAATGAGATGCTTTCTACTCAGGCGGTAAGTCTGGGAACAGCAAAGATTCTACCCACTTTTTACATTTTGCAACCTTTTGAGAATGTGTCTTCAAATTGGTTATGGCTGTGTGTATATTTTACTCAGTGGATCCTTCTCTTTTGTCCGTCTAGCTTCGCCTGGATGAGACTCAGGAGGCTCAGTGCCAAGGCCTCCGAATGCAGCTGCAGCAGGAGCTGGAGCTTCTCAACGCCTACCAGAGCAAGATCAAGATGCAGAGCGATGCCCAGCATGAGCGGGAGAGGAAGGACCTGGAGCAGAGGGTGTCGATCCGGAGGGCCCTGCTGGAACAGAAGGTCCCTGTTCCCATTATTTGTTTTTCATGTAGAGTTTGTATTGTCTGACTCAATGATTACTGGGAAAGCTCCTTTTTAATTAAAAAAGCAAGCAAACCGTGTAATTTCTGCAGATTGAGGAGGAGATGGTGTCCTTGGAGAATGAACGCTTGGAGCGAATCCGGAGCCTGCTGGAACGCCAAGCCCGAGAAGTTGAGGCTTTTGACTCGGAGAGCATGCGCCTGGGCTTCAGCAATATGGTGCTGTCCAGCATCTCCCCGGACGCCCTCAACAACAGCTTTCCTGGGGCTCCGGCGAGTTGGAGTCACCCTGAGCAACAGCACCCGTCCCCAGGCTCTCTGGGGTCGCAGTGGAGCAGCGGCGCCTCGAGTATCGGGTCGAGCCACCACCACTACCACTCCAGCCCGGGAGGGGTGCCTATGCAGCAAGGCTGGGGGCAGGGCATGCAGAGAGGCAGCCTGCCGTCGCCGTGGGGCCAACAGTCAGCTGCTGGCCTGGTGTCCCGCAGCAGTGGAGGTGCACAGAACAGCCCCCAAGCAATGGGGAGGACACCCTCAGGAGGACGCAGTGAGCAGAACATGAGCAGGAGCACCAGTGTCACCTCGCAGATATCTAACGGGTCACACCTCTCCTACACATAAATAACCCCCCCCAATCCCCCTGAATCTGAGCGTGGAAATGTAGAATCCAACTAACGAAGCAGGACTATAGGAATATTGGCAGAGCTCCGCCGCTCCGTCTCGCTCGCTGCGTTCCCCCCTCCCCACCCCCCCGTGTACAGATGTGGATCTGCGATGAAAATAAATGTTGCTCAGGTCAAAAGGGCTGGAAGAGACGCAGCCCGTCCTCACGGCAGTTTATCGGCACACGCACAGATCCTTAAATTTATGTTACATAAGATATTTGAGTGTCAACACGCAATGCTCCAACTGGTTTTAATTTACTCTCCTTCGGATTTTATTTTTTCTCTGTGTTATGTGCTTTTCACAGCCTTTGCTCTCATTTTGCACATGAAACACTGTTAAAAAGCTTTTGACACATGTTAACGGTGTCCTTTTTAGAAATGTGGCATTGAACAATCAAAGACAACTCGTTCTATTTAGGACTCCCTTCAGATTCTCATTCTGTTATGCACTGGTCCATTTTCTGACGGTGGTTAAAGTGTGGCAAACTGAACTAAAGTTGCTTTGCTGCTGTAGTACCAGCCTGCTGTAATGGTCATCGTGATAAATTAGATGCCTCCGTTTATTCAGTACTTTAATGTCAGCCGATTTCCCTTTTAGCAGCCCAAAATAGACATAAAATTTCAGAGCCAAATAAACAAACCGTAACCGTTTGAAGCTTACGTTCCAACTCTACTACAGTGCCTTTATAAGCATTGATTATAAAACCCCAAACTCAGATGTCTATAGTTCGATATTTTAAATTTCATCATCAGTTTATAATCAGTGCCAGTGTATATGTTTAGTTTATTTTTTAACTACATATCTATATTATTATACGTACTGTGTATGCAGTAAAGTCTTATAAATGGTGAGAAATTGGTAACTATATATTCTTGGTCTTTCAGAGTGGCGGTACTCTAGGGGTCGAAGCGTTCCATAGAATGTCGTCCTACACACCTACAGAAGGAATTGTACAGAGTTTAAAAAGAAAGACTACTTTGCCTTCAAAAACAATCCTAGTATTGATTTATTTTTTCTTAGTGCCTTTTTCGAACTGCTGCCTTTTTCAAAGCACTTTAAACAGCGGAATGTGTAAAGTTTGCCGACTTCTCGCTGAACACCTGGCAGGTGAGCGTGTCGTCGGTACGTGTGGCATCGAGTGGAGAAGTGGAGCGAGCCTGTGCTGGGCCTTGTACGACCAACTCCCCCAAGTACAGGCCAGACCTAATGTACGGCCATACACAGTGTGAATGATGAAAGCCCCCCCTCCCGCTCCCCCCCACCCCTCACACAGCTTTAACTTGTGATTTGAAAGCATAGCTGTGTCGGTAATCTCCACTGTGTGTTGATGCGTTGATGACTTTTTGATTCAATAGAGCGGTTGTGAGGATGCTGCGGATTTCTGGGCCTACAGTTGTGAATAGCTGAGGAGGAGAGTTCATCCCGTGCGGGCAGAAGGCTTTAGATAATCGTCATGACCATGACAGCAGGCTTGCTGAGAAAAACTACAACACTGTTCGAAATGTCGGGGCCCAGTTGAGTGACATTACCAATGTAGGAGGTGCTAAGTTAGAAATGTGACACCATTTTGTCAAAAACCCAAGGACAAGGGGGCACTGAGACAAGCACACGCTTGCGCAATGACATTGTATCACACAAATGTAAAAATTAGTCAATGCACCCTCTGGAAAAACAGCCAAATACAAAATACATTTAGGCAAAAAGCATTTAAGTATTCCTTTTGATCGCTCCAGCTGTTAAATATCTGCCTCCGTCTGGTTTGGGTTGGAACTCATTAGAGAAGTCGGTGCCCTTTAAACCTTTTAAAGGGTTAGGCTTTCCATACGGAGTATAACACCTTTTTGTTGAAAAGGCCATTAAAGATAATAATCCAGAGATGAGAAGGATATATATTGTCCCTCGAATCACAACGCTGGGGTAAATGTTTATATTGTGTATATTTTATTAAAGAAAACATTTAAAGACTAAACTTGCATTTTAAGAAATTTAATTTCTAAAAACTAACTTTATTTAACTGACAGACCACACTGATGTTAGCAAACCCTTTCGCTCTCACGGTGGGTTTGAGCTCATTTTTATTTTATTTTTTTAAATGCCACTTCTTCAGTCAAGCAGACCTCTCTAAGCGTTATCACCGATGAGCGATTGTGCTCCGATGAGCACAATCTGGCCCCATTCCACTCTGATTCACAGCCACCTGTTCACATGCTGGCTCTTACTGAATGTCATACTAGGATAATATCAGGTTTGAAGAGACAAATGCTGGGGTTTTCTTTCTCAAATACATGCGTACATATTCTATCCTTGAAGGTATGCATTATGTTAGGCTTCTCATGGCTTGGTCCTAAAACACAATTTTGCAAAGGCAGAGCGACAAGTTCCAGCTACTGTAACACAGCAAGTTGTGGTCATGATTTCTTCTATTCATTGATACGTGGTAAAGTAAAAGGAGAATGTATTTATCTTGATCTACTTAAAGTCAAGAGCCAAGGCCAAGAGTTTTAATGTCAGGCCAATCAAACGTCACATACATGCCAACCATAAGTTTGTGTGGTCAACTTTAGTTCACTTTAATGTTAGTGTCCTGAGTGTGGATGTGGCTGTCAATCATTGTCTCAACAACCCTGGATTTTATTTGTTTTTTATTTTTTATTTTTTTTTATTTTTTTTTTAAACTCAAATTTTGTCGTCCTGACTGAAAGCTTATGGGAATTAGAATGAGAATCGGCAACAAAAATGGCGATCCTTTCTATGGTCAAACACTGTGCCATACCCTAGTTGCCAAGCCCAGATACCACTATTTCGTCATGTTGCCACGTTTTTAACCTATCAGTGGGCTGATGGCGTGAAGTATATAAATATATGATACATAAAAACATCTTGGTTCTGGCCTGGTAGCCAAAGTTGAAAAGCTTGAAAAGATCAAGTGGATGACAGGCAAATTATGAAGAGAGATTTCATTTTTTTGAAGATGTCAGTATTCTTCTTTGGCACATTACCACTACAACTCATAACTTGTATCACAATGTATAGACAGTGGAAGTTGTTATTGAATGTCGGAGATATAAGGATACTACATAAGAGATGGTAAAGTACTAAAAGTGGAGTGAAATTGTATAAAAAGATTCATAAAACAAAATAAAAATAGGGTCAAAATGTACTATTTGTATTATATTTAGCATTGTGTTGGCAGAGGGATATTGAACAGAAATCAGCTGTAATAAAGTAATTTTAGTACAACTAGCCTCGTGTTTTTAATGTCCTTTTGTACCTCAAATGTGCAACTTTTGGTTGTGCATGGCACCGCGCTGGGCAGGAGAGCAGGACCACAGGTTAAGAAAGAAGAAAAAATCAACCAATGACAGACGTCCTTGGTCCCACAGCAAGGAGCACAAAACACAGGCGATGTTCAGCGCATGCGCAGTATAAAAAAAGAGTCCAGAGCCGAACAGCTTGCTCTTCTCCTGTCGCCTGTACGCAATAACACTTCGACATCGATGCACCGGTCGGAAAAGCGCCGGTAAAAGGCTCTTCATTCGGAAGCCTTGTCCTGGAGGCGGGAAATACGCGCAACGTGATATGTGACGACTATTGTAAACACACTCGAATGTTTTGCTGGCCTGTTAAAGGAATGCCGGCACAAGAGTTGCTTATTTGAGTGAGTAAGTAGTCAATAATCAATCAACGTTAACGGTTAATGGATACGTGACTAACGTCACGTCAGCTGGAAACTGCAGTTTGTTCCTTTTAACTTCGTCGTGTTCGACGTCACATTTGAAATCCTTGCATTGATTGCATTCAACTTGTACATGTTAGTATTACTCTTTAGCTTAAATCGTTCAAGTCAAATGTCATGTTTCGTTGGCTGAACTAGCAAGCTAACGAAGCTTTGAAGCTATCGACGTTAACTTTACCTCGCTTGCTCGTGACAACCGTTGAGCTTCGTCAGCTTAATGTTAACACGACTTTAGCTGTGGAGCTAATGTCAGACATCACCGGAGTTGGGTCTGACATTCGCTCCACAGCTAAAGAAACATTCATTTTATTGCCTGCATCGAGGATATTGCATTGTAACGTTAGTAACATTTGACATTGTAGTGACGTTGACTATCGCCGCTAACGTGACCCTGTTGGTTGGAGCGGGCGTTCTTTCGGGCACTGTATAAATACTGTAATAAACACTGTATAAATACTGTAATAAATACTGTATAAGCACTAGGCGTTGAATAGCCGCAAGTGTGACTCATTCTCACTGTGTGGTGTCCTCGCAGAGCTCCAGGATGTTGTGTGAAGTCGTGCTGTCGTCGGTATGGCTCCTGTTCGTTATCTTCTGGGTAGAGACAATAAGCGTTTGGCTCTTTTTGTCAATGTTCTACCAGGACCGGGCATTTTACCACTGGGGAGATGGGTAAGACTATTTGGTGTACGTTTATATATTCATAGTTGGTTTAAAACAAATGCTCACTCTCTATACTAAAGATGATACAGGCCTTTCTATCAAGCCACACAACCAAAAAGATTTTTATGTAGATCTCTCACTTTTTTCCCCCTGCAAACACATAACTTCAACTTTGAAGTAGAGCGAGAGAAGAAAAGTAAGTGACATGAATTGAAAGTTGAAATTGTCTCCAATTCCTTGATAGCAGTCTTCATGAACGGATGGATGATGAAACACTTAAAGCATAATGGACAGTGGTGTGAGTACAGGCTTCATTGGGAAATTAAAACTATGTTTTAACAGAACCTTTTGTTTTATGTTAAAGGATTTTTGCAGGTGACCCTAGAGAGATGATATACATGTTGAACAGGTAAGAACTCCATTTTTTTTTCATCCTGAATAATTGAGTGTATACCAATGTGAAATATGACTTGTGTGAACGGTATAATCACGTGTCCCTCTCCACAGAGTTGATAACCACATACAGACAGAGATGCAGACCTGAGCTGGAACAAGATGAAGAACTCCACTTAAGGGACACAAGAGAGGCTTTGGCATTGACTGACAAAAAAAATTATGGAGAGCAGTAGCTGTTTTTTCTTTGGAGTGACTTCCTTGCACGCTGTGATGCACAGTCAACATCATTACATGTAGCACCCCTTTTAATAACAAGTGGTGTAGAGCTGCAGCATGAGTGAATGTAATGTGAGGTCCTCAGTGGTTGACATTTCTATTTTCACTTCAAGATTATGTAAAAGCAGAATGAATGTAGCAGAAAGTGTTTAGTTCGTTTGTTGTGGGTTTTCCACTCCATTTTTAGAAAATAGTGTTTCGTTAATACTACCGTTCTATGCAACTACAGTTGTTACTGTATGCTTTAAGTTGTGGCCTTTATCTGCAGATGGATTTTGCTCAGTTCATATGTCTCTATTCTGATATAACACTGCTTATTACGTGAATGAAATTCCATAGGGAGGACACGTAACTCAGCCACCTCACTAGCAACTACAAAAGCTAATTGAAAGCCCTAAAATTAGATATTGTGTTACAATTTTTACCCTGAAATGAGCAACATGTTCTGTATACATATTATTTCAAATGCAGTATGCCAAAAATATCCAGATGTTTGACTGCTTTAGGTCACATTTCACAATATGCAAACCAGCATATTGAGCAAGTAAAAGGAAGAGGGTCCGGGTTCATTGTTATGATGGAGTCTGTGCCACTTGAATGTATAGTTTGTAAGGGCAGCTGCAGCATTTACTTAAAGTAAAAAGAAAAGTGTGATTTGGAGCACAATCCTGATGTTACATTAGGCCTATGTCTCCGAAGACAATCATAATAGTGGGTTAGAGTATGTTCCATTTTAGGAATCCAATCTTTGTGCAATATGTCAGTGCTATATCTAGCAAATGAAATAAAAGTGATATTTTAGTTTAAATACACAACTCTTTTCAAGCCCGTACAAAATCAGCCAATAAGTAGTGTTAACAACCGGTAGACAAACATTGTCAATATTGTTTTGTAAAAAAATGCTGAATAAATTTATTTTTGAGTGCAATTATTTTCCCGAGTGCCACGTTATTCAGCAGCGCGCGCGCCTGGTCGGCAGGGGTCGCTCACATCTAAAGCCCGCGCGCCACCAGGTCACCAGCCTATTCTTCCGGGTCAAAGTTAAAATGCACTATACGTTTTTATCAAAAGTCGGATTTAAAAATTAGTTTGTAAACTTAAGTGCATTACGGATTTTGTTAGTCATCTAACGTATCGCTGTCGGTTATTTGCGCAAACAAATAGCGTCAACTGTTTTCAGTTGCGAGCAGTTTGTCATAAACATGGCTCCAACGATTCAGACACAGTCTCAAAGAGAAGACGGGCACAGGTAAAAACAAAACAATTTTACTAGGTTATTAAGCTACATGGTGGTTTATATCTGATAATAATGCCAATGTTGTTGACTCAATCGATATTAGCTCATCAGGGGATGTATTTGTTAGTATGTCCATCATTAGCTAACGATGCTAGTTAGCTAGCCGCTAACGTTAATGTAAGCAGGAAGCTTTGCGTCAAGTTAACAAGGCTATGCATGCTAGGGTCATTTAGCGCGCTAACCCTATTATTACTTATTAGTTAAATAATCAAGTCGGCGTTGGGTGAATTTAATCTTTCCAACCAGTGAAACCTTAATACCGTGACAATCAAAAGGCCAACGTTGTGTTATTGGAGGCTGCCCGTTAAAGTTAGCCAGTTCCAATGCTAACAGTAACGCAAAGTTAGTGACTGCAAGCTCAACATGATGCATTAACTATGCTAACGCTCCATTCAATTGTAATCTAACATCCGATTCAGCTAGAAACTTACTGGAAGGCATTTGCATGTGGGAATCAAAGATGATGGCCCTGCTCTTTAGTGGTCTACACCGTATAGGCATGAAATAAAACAAAATTGTAACGTTAAACATTCATCTACCCACAATAGATGAAAACATTATTAAAGAAAATCAGGAAACAAATCAAATATTTACTTCACTTTACCGAAACATTGCAATGCCCTACTCCAGCATTATTTTCAGAGTGACAGTCTGACAAGTTTCTGTTTTCTCTTCCAGCAGGCCGTCCTCTCATAGGACTGTTCCAGAGAGGTAAGCGGATGTTGCCCTGATAAGTATTTACTGCTTACTGTTGTGTAAAGTGTTTTTTTTTTTTTATTGGCACTTAAGTGTGCTAAAAGTGTCAGAGTAACCCAAACTGTCTTAAATCCTGTACTTTTGTGCCCATCAAAGGTCAGGGGTGGTCTGTCGAGTGAAGTACTGCAACAGCCTACCCGACATCCCCTTTGACCCCAAATTCATCACATATCCATTTGATCAGCACAGGTAAACATTAAGCCTCTCCATCCATGGCTGGAGCATACACCGATAAACCTGGGCTTAGCGTGACACTTGTTTTCCTATTGCTGCAGGTTTGTACAATACAAAGCCACTTCTTTAGAGAAGCAACACAAACATGAGCTCCTGACTGAGCCAGACCTCGGGGTCACCATTGATCTCATCAACCCAGACACCTACCGCATAGACCCAAATAGTAAGTCTCTAGTTGTTCTTGCATACAAGATTATTTTCAGATATATTTTTGAAGATTTTAGTGTTTGGGTTCAGTCAATGCAGACATTTGACATTCTTTTATATTCTCAGTACTTCTGGATCCTGCTGATGAAAAACTGTTGGAAGAGGACATCCAGGCTCCTTCCAGTTCGAAAAGGTAAGGCTGCTTAATGGGCAACTTTATGGTCTCATAGATGAGATGGTTTGTGAAAAATGTTCATCTTACCTACAAGGTCACAGCAGCATGCCAAGGTTGTCCCGTGGATGAGGAAGACCGAATATATTTCGACAGAGTTCAACAGATACGGCGTTTGCAATGAGAAAGTGGAAGTCAAGTAAGTGGGCGAAATGTATTCATGTTGAAATTATTTAATTGTAGATGTATTTTCTCTGTGTGTGTGTTTGTGTATAATCCAAGTATGTTTTGTGTTTAGAATTGGTGTGTCTGTCAAGCAGCAGTTTACAGAAGAAGAAATATACAAGGATAGAGACAGCCAGATTTCTGCCATTGAGAAAACATTTGAGGATGCACAGAAATCAGTGAGTGAGCTCTGTTTGCGATGTCCAGCTGTCAGATGCAAATCAGCACATCAAGCCCAATGCAGTCGTACTTTTGGTTTGTAAACACGTTGTTTCTCTCTAGATTGCACAGCACTACAGTAAACCAAGAGTTACTCCTGTGGAGGTGCTACCTGTGTTCCCTGATTTCAAGGTGAGCTATGATTTCACTCGTGTATGATCTCAAATACTTTATCCGGAGAAGTGCAGGGAGGGAAAATGAATGTACCTGCACCTTTTTTTTTTATTTTTTTAAACAATTTGTTGTGGCTTGAGTTGTAGTTGTTGCTTTTTTGACAGTTGAAGATACTTACAAAGATACTGACACATTGGCACTCTGCAGATTTATATAGTGACATTTTTGTACACTTTGGTCCTCTTTCTCCAGATGTGGATCAACCCATGTGCTCAGGTCATCTTTGACTCTGATCCTGCACCTAAAGACCTTTCCGCTCCAGCAGGAGTGGAAATGATGTCTCAGGCCATGATCCGGTATTTACAAAATATCTTTTGCCTGGATATCTCTTAAAACTGTAAAAATTTTGCATAAAAACTGATGTGTCATGTTTCTTTAATACAGAGGTATGATGGATGAGGAAGGAAATCAGTTTGTGGCTTACTTCCTGCCCAATGAAGAAACAATTCGCAAAAGGAAGAGAGACTGCGATGAAGGGATGGATTATATGCCTGAGGACTTGTATGTGAAAATATTATATTCAGAGAATCATACATTTGACGATGACTTTGTTACCTTGAGGTATTGATGTTTATTTTTTTGCAGGTATGATTACAAGATAGCCAGGGAGTACAACTGGAATGTGAAGAACAAAGCCAGCAAGGGTTACGAAGAGAACTACTTCTTCATCTTCCGAGACGGAGACGGTGTCTACTACAATGAACTTGAGACCCGGTAAGTCATTGATCAGAGGGGAGACGCGTTTGTTGGTGCACACCAACATGAACAAAGCGGTACATGCAGCCGGCGTGTTTGGCTCAAGCACAAATGCTGAGGTTTGAGAGAGTTGGCTGTAAATTGATACAAAACAAAACCCCGCCTATGATTTATGGGGGTTTGGTGAGAAGCTGTTAGGCGTCGTCCTCTCACAGCCTTTCTTCTGTCCTACAGGGTGCGCCTGAGCAAGAGGAGAGCCAAGGCTGGAGCTCAGTCCACCACCAACGCAGTGCTGGTGTGTAAGCACAGAGACATGAACGAGAAGGAACTGGAAGCGCAGGTAACGTTATTTCTTTCTTTCCTGATTTTTCTTGATCTGACCTTTTTTAGTGTTGACTTATTTTGACTGTGCTTTAATGTTGAAAGGAAATCTTTACAGTAAGAGGTAGCGACTTGAATTATTATCATCTGTGTTTAGTCAAAGTCTACACTTTGTACACTCCACAAAGGAGGAACTAGAAATGTATAAAACAAATGTAATATTACATGCATTGTTTTTTTTGACATTATCCACACAAAGTAGTTGCGAGGCGATTTATTAATACCACAATAATATTTAGATTATTGACGTGGAGCCTTTGTCTGTTTATAACAAATCTTTTCAACCTTACACAACTAAGTGGAACCGTTGGGAGTATTGTCTCAAAGTTTATTAAACAGTCGTAGTGTACTCACGGCTGAGTCTCTGTCACTGTGATTCTTAGGATGCTCGTAAAGCTCAGCTGGAGAACCATGAGCCTGAGGATGAAGAGGAAGACTTGGATAAGGACATGCAGGATTCTGGTCAGATTTCTTATATTCCCTACATGTCTAAACCCTTTTACACTGTACTCATTCTGCAACCTGTTGCACTGTAGTGAGACCAGGTTTGCTTCACCATGACCGCTTTTTAAATCAATTTCTGCTTCTGTTTGTGATATTCAAATTGTTTTCTCCAGGTGATGACAAAGAGAAGGGCAGCGGCAGCGAGGCGGAGAACTCCGGCAGTGAATCTGAGAGGGAGGAAGAAGACCGGGAACAAAGGCCAGAGGAGGAAGACCAAGAGAGCCGAGAGAAGCGCAAGAGGAAGACGAGCGGCAGCGGAAGTGAGAGCGGCGAGGACAGGACCAGAGAAATGCGAGACGAGGAGGAGATCTTCGGAAGTGACGACGAGAGTGCAGATGACGACGACGATGATGACGACGACGACGATGACGAAGAAGTCGGCAACAACAACAACAAGAACTCAGCCAGAAGCAGCGGGGAGGAGGGCAGCGGTAGCGAGGACGAGAGAGGGAACCGAGAGGCCAGCAGAAGCCGAAGCGCCTCCCCGGCACACAGCGACCGCAGCAGCGAGCACTCGGAGACCCGAGCCCAGAGCGGCAGCGGCAGTGAGAGAGCCTCAGAATCCAGTGAGGCCAGTGACAGTGAATAGGACCTGTGGCACGGACACCTTTCTTACTTTGATGTTTAAATACGACAGTGTTACTCTCTCACTGACCTTGAAATTAGCACGGCATGAGGATGCAGTTTCTAATGATTTCAAATATAAAATTCAAATTTATCTGGTGGATGTTAATTGGTTTTGGACTTGGGACTTCAATACACTTTTAACTGTAGATCACGCTTCCGCACAACTGGTTGTTTGTCCACCATTCCTATAGTTTTTTCTGTCTGATATTGCCTGCAGGATCATGTAAAGAAATGTCAGTTTTATCTGCTTCTGACTCGTTACGCGTGTTGGCTTAAAAACTGATAATAAAATACAGGTGACTTTTGTAAGAAATAGTTGTCACAGGTTGTTTTTGTTTCCCCTCAACATATTTAGCAAACCTGAAGTAATTCAATAAGTTGTATGCTACATTTATTGAAGTAAAACATTTAAATCTGATTTGTGTAATTGCTTCACACTTTCCAAGGAATATAAAAGGGACTGTTCATTTCTATGATTATTTTAATGGGAAATTGACAAATCAAATCTTTGATACAGTAAGTAATTTAATTACACGCACAGCGATTGATATTTACTGTCAACGGCCATGTTTCACCATAAGACAGACTGATAGTACTGTATATTCAGCCAAAAAATCCCAACTGGTTCCTCAGCCATTCTTCTGTCAAGTCGTCCGTATTTCTTGTTTCAAAGACCTTTAAGGTAAAGAAAAGAATTCACAATAGGAATGCCAAACAAAAAAGAAACATGAAGATGAGATTAACTCAACAATACTCAAGGTAGTTACGAATCAAGTATGAAAACCTCTAAAAAGTATGAATAGCCTGCAAAAGCTTTTGCCAATCAACATCCGCATAATTATGGTTTAGTTGAAATTCAATATTTTATCCTGTTTTGACGTAACCAGCATGCCGCTGGAGTAACGACACCCTACAGATCATAATATAGAGGTTGTTACCTTTGTGAGGTCCGCAGCGTGCACCAGTCCAGTCTTGCTCCCTGCATACATCATCTGTTGCTCTGGCTTACATCCTGTTTAAATGAAATGAACATTATTACATGGGATTGTGTAATTTCACCAGTCACCAAATCCAATAAGGTCCAACTTCATCAAAACAATAATGTTGAATAAAGTGGACTCCAGAGAAAAGGAGACACCTGTTCATTTGTTCTACTTATCAGAAGAATCTTGACCAAAGGAGAAACGTATTATTACTTACCCATTGGACTAGAGAATATGAAACAAAGAGGGTAAGACACCCTTCCATCGGAATGGACATATTTGTAGCTGTAGACAATGAATGTGCAATACGGTCAAGGAGTGTAAGAACACTGATGTACGGGTGTGTTTAAGGGTTTTGCTATTTTCTGAACAAGGTGAGAAGGATATCTGGGTTGCCGCTCTGGGAGTTCTTCTCTCAGTTCATCCATTGAGATGTCCTAAAAGACAAAGACGATTTGACTTTAAATTCAGAAAACCCCCCACCCCAATTCCCCCAAAACACTAATTTCACTTGCCTCATATTCCTCTTCGACGATAACAAGCTGTTTCTCCATGTCTATTTTCACTAAATAATACAAACAAATATTATTCACATTTTTGGTTTTGTTTCATATTTGTTGGTGCACAGAATTCATTGAATTTGATTCAGAAAAGAGTTGAAATGCACCAATAGCACGTGATACTTACTTATTATGGCAGCATTGGTGGTTTCTTTTCGAAATCTAAACTTTTTCAGTTTAGCTTTCAGACTTTCATCCACTTCACACACAACCAGCGCGTTTGACTGCAAAAAAAGGTGTACAAACACAATCACAAAAGACTCAGTCTCAATATTTAAAGATGATGCTGCTTCGGCGGCTTGGTCCTACGGCCCAGAAATAGAAACAAAAGGAAAAGGGGGGCGCGAGGCAGCGGCTCCATCTGCTTCGATGCGGAGGTCTCTGCGCATCAAACATTCACACGGCTCTTCTGACATATTGGGGGCAGGAAATGTAGTTTTTTTTGCTTCGACATGCAAGAATGCGGTTTCCTGTTTGAAGGAGTGCGGCGCGCGTGATCGCGACGGTTCACGTAAAAAAAAAAAACACCCACGCGCACACAAACACGTATGAATGACAGATTTGTGAAAAGAGAAGACAGCTCTCTCGAGCAATCGCATCGGATTCACCTACCATTCTCGACGGATTCCTCTCGGCTCTCTTTCCTTTCCGGTCTTTAAGGCAAGCGGGGCTTGTGGAAACAGGCAAGACGAACTGACAGGCGGACTCAGGCTCCTCCTGATGCCGCGGGGGGGGCCTCGCCCACGGCACGCAGCGCTCCGCTGCTTCCTGTTTTCACAACACTGCCCAGTCTTTGTATGCGTGTAACGCATTTAAAAAAAATTATATTTTAATAATATATGCATCACAAACCGACGAATCTTAGTTTGACTGATCTCAGTTGCACAAATTAGATTGCGTTGAAGAGGATCCGAGCAGCTTGAAGTATTAACTATTTTACTCTGTTGTCTATCATTGATTTGGAGGATTTCATATTAGGGTTATGCTTACTTCTTCAACTTTTCCACTTGAGTAGGGCACCCCCCCACCCCCATGGGCTTTGGGACAATTCAACGTGAGCCCTTTTTTGAGGTCTCCCGGTTCATTTGCCAGACTGTGGGTGGAACAAAACTTTACGTACAGTCCAAACGTGTGACGTATCACTTTACGTCTTGCGTCAACTCAAAATCGAAGTAGATTTCTCCAGGCGTACACTCTATATTTTCTGCATTGCAATAAACATTTTGTACATACATCCTTTAATATGGCCTGTACAAAACCACGGCTGCTTGCTGCTGTAAAGGAATACCCGTAGGAACAGCGCGTATGGGATCCAAGTCTAGGCTTCTTTCAGGTAAGCTAACGTTATTGCATCTGTTAGCTAAACTTGCTAGCTAAGAAGCTAGCGCTAGCGCTTAGCGATCCCTACCCCACCGTCGAGCCAGCTATGCAGTAGCACTTAAGCCTAGCTCGCTAACCAGTGACAACTGACACAGGTAAACAACCAACCTTTCGAGTCTGTTTATTGTTAACCACACCTAACATAACTTTACCTAGTTAACTAGCTAGCTAAAAACCCTGTCGCGTTTTAACGTCCATTTCTGCGGCGCAAGATTGAACTAACGTTACGAAACGTAGAAAGGGGAGAGCAACAGCGCGAACGAAAGGCGCAAACAAACCGCGGAGCCCGCATCACTTTGTTTTGTCGGTCGAGTTAGTGGCGCGGGGGGGGGGGGGGAAACGAAACGTTCTAAAGCACCGCATCGTTGAAACAATTGTGTGTTTAAAACATCTTTCACTGTTTCGAAGTATTTGATACAATCAGGAATGGTGACACCTGCTGGTTAAGCCCGCTGTATTGCATACGTAGGGATGGATTAAACCAGAGACTATGGGGAAACCGTTAGTTAGTTAACGCTAGCTGACGTCCGTTAGCTACAGATTTATTGTTCTCCGTTCTCTCAACTACGACGTGTTTTACCAAAATGTCTAGAGCGAAATACTGAGGCGGATTGACGAAGAATATTCCGCAGCCGAAACGAGCGACACCTCACTTCACGAGGCCTCGTTTGAGGTGGTCACGTGATTTTCGGCGTCCTGAAAAGCGAAGTACCGCAACATCTTGCTGTGATCGTCTTGACATGAAAAGTCAATATCGTGTTTGTTTGGTCTGCTTCGAGGAGAACTTAACTGGGCCAAAGCACCTCTGGCTATTTGCTGTCTAATACTTAGCTCCCGGGTTCTTATGTTAATCTATTTCCATCTCGTGAAACCTCACAACTCAATATGTCATCATGTTACTGGCGCAACAGTTCGCGGGAATACTTATATTGTAAGTGATGTTGTTAGTGTTCCATTTTCCGTCTGTAGCGGATAAACAGTGACTTATTGTATAATAGTCCCTGTGCTTTGGATGGCAGCCTATTTCTGTGAATGTATGTTAAGCATTGCTCTTAGCTATAATAATTTCGTGATGCTTTTGTGATGACTTAGTGACTCGTAAAGCAGCGTGGGCGTGATTGACAGGAGACTTTTTGAAGTAATGTCGTTTATAATTTACATTTATGAGTAATGCTCACCTTAAAGGTGAGGCGCGCGGAGTAGAGAGGGTTGGTGGTTCAAACCCCGGCTGCTCCATGTCGAAGTGTCCCTGAACAACACCTAAATGCTCCCCGGGAAAAATGTAAAAACCATGGGTTAAAATGCAATGTAAGTTGCTTTGGATAAAAGCGTCAGCTAAATTACATGTAATGTAATGAAAGGAAACCTTGAGTCACAGTTATTTAAAAATCTTGATTCATTTTTTCATATCTGATTTTGCTGGAAAATGTCTAAATCAGCAATTTTGTCATCTCCCTGCCATTATTCTGCATTTCATAAAGGGTATAAGCAGTGCGTCCATCATATATTAATGTGTGCTGTGAGATAAACCAATTTATAGTGTGTGTTTATTTATAATCTGTGCAAAGTCCATTTTGTGTTTATATTTAGTATAAGTAGACATTGGGTGAATTGTCATTTAATATGTTTCTCTTTGTTGATTTTGATAGGGCACGGAGGATGTGATCCTGAACGTGCCACAGTGAAAAACGAAGCGCTTCCTGTTTGTCATCGCCAACTACAATTGACACACACACACACAGACTCGCTTCATCGGGCATCTTCCCAATAATCTACGCGGCCTCCCCGTCTGCAGCTCCTTCTGCACCTGAATCATGTGAGGGCCCCTCGGTCCAGTCTGAGGGGATCCCGGGACTGTTACAAATACGACCCCGCTGTGCGGGGTGAGACTGAGCCGGTCTGTGTCTGAGAGAGCAGTCTCTCCAGTACCCCCCCTCCCCACCCACGCATCCCTGTTCTCCTCACAGAGGAGACACGCCATGATGTTCCGAGACCAGGTGGGTATCCTCACAGATTGGTTCAAGGGCTGGAATGAGTGTGAACAGACGGTGGCACTGTTGTCCCTCCTGAAGAGGGTGTCCCGCACCCAGGCGCGCTTCTTACACATCTGCCTTGAACACTGGCTGGCAGACTGCACAGAAATCCACATCCTAGAAGCTGAGGCCAACAATGCAGGTGTGTATTTTATTTGATATTATTCATTTTCCCTGACTACTTCTATACTTTCCCAAAACTGAAACCTAGTAATTGCTGGGGAAATTCTCTGTTCGCCCTTTGTCATCAGCAATCGTCAGCCAGTGGCATCAGGAGCCAAAGGAGAAAGTTGTGTCCTTGCTGCTGTCCCACCTGCCTCTGCTGCAGCCCCGCAACAGTGAGGCCAAATGTGAGTACATGAAGCTGCTGCAGAAGGTGTTGAGTCACACCATCGAGAGTAGCCTGTTTGTGGAAGAAAGTCGGCAGCTGCTGTCCTACGCGCTCATCCACCCGGCCACAACGCTGGACGACCGCACCTCTCTGGCCATGTGGCTGAACCACCTGGAGGAGCACCTCTCCAGTGGCTACGCGCCCCGGCCCCCGTCGAGCCCCTACCACCCGCGCCAGGGCTCAGACGAGTGGCCCAGCTCTGCCGAGGCGCTGGACCCTGGCCATGGCTGGCACGACCAGTCCCCGTCATCCGGCACGTCTCCAGCAGGCCAGAACGGGCACATGCCTTTCCCGGGTGGGATGTCCTCTCCCATCAACAGCAATAACACAGGTAACGGTTGCCCGTCTCCATCTTTCGAGAAGAAATAGTTTGTTAGGGGAAACGATATGTAGACATCTCCCTTTATGTGCAACCAGTGTGCTTATGGCTAAAGGTCACACTTCTCATATATTCATTGTTCTCTGGCCAGGTCTTTGCGGACAGATGCAGCCCAGTCCTCTGAAGAAGTCCATGTCCGTTATTCCTCCCGGTTCCCAAGCCTGCCTCTCCGAGTGGGTTACCCAGGATGACATTGGGGGCCGGCAGAGCTTCATTCTAACAGACCACGCGCCCCTTTCACCCCAGAGCAGCGTAGCCTCCTCGGGCAGCGAGCAGACAGAAGAACAAGGCTCCAGTCGCAACACCTTCCAGGAGGATGGCAGTGGCATGAAAGGTCAGAGTTCATTACCTAATGAAGCCAAGGGCGCTCATGGTATTTTGCTGTGGAACGAACTGAGTGTGGCCAGCAACTGTGGAGGTAGAAGCCAAACCGTAATATTACCGTATTTGTGTCCCGTGGTGTCTAATTGTTCTAGATGTCCCCGGCTGGTTGAAGAGTCTCCGCCTTCATAAATACGCGTCCCTGTTTTCCCAGATGACCTATGAGGAGATGATGATTCTCACCGAGCACCACCTGGAGTCGCAGGTTTTTAAGCAGGTTTAATGTACTGCACACTGTGTCTTGGCTGTGATTACTCCACCCGTCCTTATCATTTGTGAACATTACTGTCCTCGAACCCGACGATACATCAAATCTCAATGAGGCTTGAATTCTAAGCGACGCACCCTACAGTTCTATTGAGTGAGTCACACATACAAATAGTGTGATCTTGCCTTTGCCCCTCGGCTTTAATGAAACAAATGGTGATTGGGTTTCTTATTTAGGAACTGTACAATGTTCTAACAGGAACTGACTCGTCTACTTTTCATGGCATCTTGTTTCTTTCTCTTTTTCAGAACGTGACAAAAGGAGCGCGGCATAAGATCGCCTTGAGTATCCAGAAACTGCGAGAGAGGCAAAGTGTGCTCAAGTCTTTAGAAAAGGTACTTCAGTGTGCTGATTTTGTTCTTTTAATGCTTCAAAAGTAGGAAACATGGTTTTGTACTGATCAAAAAAGTACTTGAGTCTATACTCCGGGAGGATCGTGAGGGGAGTGGGAGTTGCATGGAAAAATTCCCTTTCTGGTCGTTGGCATAGAATATGTTTGGGATCCATCAGGCTGAAATGCAGATCTACTGCCGTCCGCTCACAACACCATCACCATCCTTTAAACCCGAAGCAACCTCTGAATATCTTGACACTAATGCTTTCGACTCGCGGCAGGATATCTTGGAAGGGGGCAACCTGCGTAACGCCCTCCAAGAGCTCCAACAGATCATCATCACACCCATTAAGGCCCAAAGCCTTCCCGGCGCAGCACAGATCCTCCCGGATGCAGCCATCTCCCCGTCAGACGTCACAAAAAGCGCGGCGAACAAAGACCCGGCCTCGGAGGGCTTCCAGTCCCACAACCCGCCCACCTGCGATGGGGACTCCACGGCCACACCCATCTCAGACGGCGACATTGCTGGACAGTTCACCCGTGTTATGGGTAAAGGTGAGAGTACGACGTGGGTCGGATGTTGATCGACTACTATAATGCTATTAA